TATCCTAAATATGCAGACCTGGAGACCTTATCATAGAATACCAACATTTTTTTTATCTTGTATTATTATATTTTTTGTTATTAGAAGGCAAAGAGGAGGAGTTTTCAGAGAAGACCAGAAAGACTTCTCATAACAGGCCTTCTTTTCTTAGATGAGCAGAAATAATTCTTCTCAAAAATAAAATAATATGTTGGGGATAAAGAAATCCATTTTTTATATGAACTATGGGACTTTATTTAACATGCTTCGGATAGTCCATTTTGTTGCCATTTTAAAGGTAACTTCATAATGCCTTGCTCATAGAAGTCCTGCTCTCTATTTGCAAAAAACTCTAGCAGTCGATTTTCACAATCCTCCCCAGATACGAATTTCTTATCATTTAAGAAATTTTGAAATGCAAGAAAAATATGGTGCCAAGTCCGGACTGTATGGCGGATGCATTAGAACTTCCTAACCAAGCTGCCGAAGTTTCTGGCAGCTTACTGTAGATGTGTGTGGCCTAGCGTTGTCCTGGCGGAACACGACACAACTCCTGTTGGCCAATTCTGGACAATTGTAAATGGTTTAAAACAATTTTATGGTCGATGTTACGAGTGGACGATGTTACGACTGCTAACATGCCGGTCAACTTCGATCATTTCTCCGATTTTATCGACATTTTCGACGACCGGCTACTTGAGCGAAGTGCATCTTTAACATTAAAAATTCCTGGACGTAATCTACGAAACCGAATTTTCTCTTTGTTCACTTCCATTTTAACACCCTGTAACTCACAACTGAATGCACCAAATAAAAAACAGCAAACTAGTTTTTTTTACTGCGAAATGTCACCCTTCCAACGAGCATAAATCTGAAATTTTTTGGTCGATACTTTACGAGAAATGGATTTCTATTTCGCAAACCTAATATATAATAAAAAAATAAGTCTTCTAGAAATTCGTCACATGAAATGCCAGGAGGTCTAGAATATTTTCTCATAGAAGACCAGATCGTCTTCTAATAAAAACCCCGAAAGAACAGACAAACAATTTTTTTAAAGACGAGAATTTATTCTCATAGATTTTTTGATTTATGTCTATCTTGCAGCAAATGAGCGATATGCTCTTCATTGGATAGAAGATTAAATGGTATTTTTTTATGGAATACCAAAATATATTCTTCTCTCATCATCCCCATATAAATACTAAAAAATATTCCCACAAAAGTCCAGAATTTAAATCAAAATTTCGAGTGCTCAGTGAAAGATTGGCGGTTTTTTGTATCCTAATGGAGATAACAAATTTTTGCTGCTTAGACATTTTAATAAGAAACTCGGGTTAATCCGAAGAGGATACTCAAGAGGATATTCTATGAAACTCTTACACTTGTTATTGTAGATTTTGACACGCCTATTGTGGAATCACAGACGCATTTTTTATACTTTTGTGTTTGGTTTTGAAAAATTATTGCAAACCTCATTGAAAACTATAAACTTATTATTTATTTGTCGAAGTTTATAAGCACTGTATATGAAAAATTATCCTTTATCCTGATATTTGGAGGCTTATGTCACATTGTGACATGTCAATGACCTTGTGTGTTGTTTCTTTTACGATTGCTATATATTTACTCATAATTGTGACGCCACTCGTAACAATTTGTTTACAAAAAAAAATGAAAACTGATTGAATGCCGCTGTAGAGGAGGCGGCTGACAAGTTATTTATGCCAAATAAATATTGATTTCTATATTAATTGTGGTCATGTTATAACTGACAATTTCTTTTTCGAATTCTCTTTGTTGCTTTGAAATCATAACACTTTTGTATAGCCTTTAGGTCGTTGGGTAGGCGTTTTATTAGAATTTCTTGCTTTCCACTACAAAAATGAGGAAAAAAAAAAAAAAGAAGAAATTAACCCAAATAGTTCGTTGTCGATAAGGCCACGAGAACTCTCCTTTTATTTTGGCCATGATTGTAAAGTACTTGTTTCCGTGTTGTGGTGATAATGGTAGGCATTTACTACGTACATATATTTATTTGGTTTAGTCAACACCACGTTTTCTTAGACAATTACGTCATTTGTGTACGTAGAAAATTACGGTTTTATATCGCATAAAAATCACTTGAACCTACAGCAAAAAATGAAACTCGTAGAAACCTGTTTACCGAGTTTGAATGTTTTCTTCTGTTTGTTTGGTAATGAAACGGAAATTAACCGTAAAGAAGAAAACAAAAATACAATTTTGTTAATTATTTGTTTTATTTAGAAATGAAGTAGTGTGATTTCATTTCTTAAAATCATATTTTTTTTTATCGAATGGATTGCCATTTTTCAACATGCAACATTAATGTTGCTGAATTTGTAGCTTCACCCAAAATATTAAGATAATGGAAATGTAATTTTTTATAAAGAATCGAATAATTAAATCTCAATCAAATTCAAATTTTAAATGACATCAATGACAATTATTATGATTGTTAAACACCCCATATCTCATTATTTATAATTTTTATTTCAATTTAATTATAATATGTTTTGCATCATCATCTGTAATTGACACCTAACATTTTTAACAACAAATTCTGAAGTTAATGACAATTTTGATTTGTGTTGAAAAGTCTCAACCAAGGTGTATTTAATAAGGTGTAAGTGACAATCATATGGTTTCAAACTTTTTTCTTTATTGTTTGTAAAGCAAATTGTCACAAACATTTTCAATATTATATTTCGATTTCAAAATTTATGATTTTTAATAAAAAAATTCAAGAAAAGTACATTCATAGAGGCGGACGGAAAGAAAACCTAGGCTTAAATCAGTTATAACACCGTTCGCCGATTGGTCCACATATTTTATGTTGTGTGGAAATCCCAGCTACTCATAAAATCGAGGAGATTATGTTAGCCTATATTGGAATCGGCTCCTCGGCGGACGTTAAATACGCCTATGGAAAGATTTTATACGGTCAACACAATTTTCGTGATTTAGTCTTTGGCCGGGGATTTATGTCTCTTCAATTTTCTTTGAGAAGGCAAGATTTGAAGCCACTCCATAGAAAAAATTGATGGTAATTCACAATATAAACAACATCGCAAGGAGCCATGGGCTGCATGTGGGAAACTTAAAATCAATCGCGACCAGGTCGTAAACTTTATTTTTCACTGACCTAAAACCGCCAATAACCCAAGAGTACACAAATTTATTAAAAATTTATTATCCTCAAAGAATAGTTCTTGACAAAAATAAATTAATAATTGTTTTTTTTTATTTTTGTCAAAAACTTATTGTCAGCATGACAATTTAATTTCTATTACAATAATGTTGTTTTTGTAAAATATTTGTTGTTGTATCTGATGCACCTTGGTCTCAACCTTTATTGTATGGGCATTTATTTCAGAACATAGGAGTTGATCAGGAAGTTTCATTGTCTGAAATACCAAATTACGACAATTTGGGTTAAACTACAATTTGGACATTCGAAAAACTTTAAAAGGGACTCAATATTTATATTGGGGATATGTATAAATATTCTTCTAAATTGAAACGGAAGAGGTCCACTGAAGTCCGAAAATGTCTAATTATAGCCTCATCGATTAAAAAGGGATATAGAAGCAGGATAATACTGAAATTTTCAGCAATGACATGACGTTGGGGAAAAAGAAATCCATTAAGCCGGTCGTTGAAAATGTCGATAAAATCAGAGAAAATATCGAAGTTGACCGGCATTGTAGCAGTCGTAACATCGCCCAGGAGCTAAAAATAGGCCATAAAACACAAAGCTGGATTCAAAAAGAAGCTTGATGTTTGGGTGCCACACCAATTAACAGAAAAAAATGGTTCGAATTTCCATTTGCAAAGTCTTGGCCAAACGGAATGAGATAGACAACGGAATGTGATAGACATGGTGACTGCAAATGAGAAATGGATTACATACGATAACCCTGTGAAGCACGTTAAATCAGGACTAACGGCCAGGAAGGTTCTGCTATGCATTTGGTGGGACTGGAATGGGGATTATTTATTGAGTTGTTTCCATATGGCCAAACGCAAAATTCTGTTCTCTACTGACAACAACTGGACCGTTTGAAGATAACAATTGACCAGAAACGAACAGAATTGCCCGACAGGAGAGGAGCCTTTTTCACCAGAACAACGCTAGGCCACACACACCTACAATGACTCGCCAGAAACTTCGAGAGCTTGGTTGGGAAGTTTTAATGAATCCGCCATACAGTCCGGACTTGGCACCAAGCGATTATCATCTTGTTCTTGCATTGCAAAATTTCTTTAATGATAAAAAATTGGTATCTAGGGAGGATTGTGAAAATCGACTACTAGATTTTTTTTTTTTTTTTTTGCAAATAGAGAGCAGGACTTCTATGAGAGAGGCGTTTGGAATTTATCTTTAAAATGGCAACAAATCATACAAAAAACGGTGCATATTTGACCCAAATTGGACATTCCGAAGCATGTTAAATAAAATCCTATAGTTCATATAAAAATAATGGATTTCGTTTTCCTCAACCTAATACTCTGAGAATTCGAACTGTCACATTCGTAATGCCGAAAGTAGGGCGGTACCTTTTAATGGGTCTTGATTCTCTTTGTCAGAGTTATGAATATATTCCCGTTTTTTTTATTTTTTCAATATAAATATATTACAGTCAAAATCTTTGTTTGATATAAAAGTATGTCATTGAATATTTGTAAACCATAACGGAATGAAATATTTTGTATTAACCCAGATATGAATCAATAAATATTGAAATGAGATCAATTAATCGATGTGTGTAAAAGTAAATTTATTTGTTATTTATTCTTCGCCTTGAATTATTATGTATTTTTATGTAGAGCGTATTAATTTATACAAATTTACAAAGCTTTTTGTTTACACTTCTACTTTCATTTAATTGTCTTACAACTGAGATTATTATTTTTTTTTTTTTTGTAATTTTCCTTTTGTAACACACTTTTTATTATCATTTTTCTGTATTGTTTCTTTTATTTTTTTTTATTTTCAGAACGAACAGGTTGTCAGCATCGTGAGTTTTCATTTTTATTTCTTGGTTGAAGGTTAAAAAAAAGATGAAATAAAAACGTATCGTATGTCAAAGATTTGTTTGTTTGTTGCTGTTTGCAAAATTTATATTTTGAACTATTTAGATGTATTTTCTTCCTTCAAACTGTTTGTAAAATTAACCTAAATTGTTGTTTGATTGTTTGTTGTTATTCGCCTTGCACTTGTATTTGTTGTTTTATGCGCATTTCAACCGCTCACACTTTTATACACTCTGTAGAAAAAGTCTGCGTTCAAAATACCGATATATACAAAACCTGTAATGTACATTTTGAAATAATTTAAAAAAAAAAACTAGTATATGAATAACTTTAGAAAAAAGTATGCGGACAAGTCGACATATGGACAATTCGGTAAAAAAAATCCTGAAATATTGTATGCATACTTTTTCTACTGAGTGTATTTTTAAGTCACCTACTTAGTATTTGTTAAAAAGTATAGACACATTAAAATCTATAAAAGGATTTTCATTTTAATTGAATTTCAATTGTTAGTAACTATCAATTGAAAATTCGAATTGTTTTGAATCTATAACATGAAAGCATAGTGTAGCATCCCTACGATGGAAAAGAAAATAAACGACTGTAGGCATTTTGTATTTCTTTCATTTGCTTCATATCAATATACCTCTCTCTCTCGGCTTGTTTCAATAGATAATTGAAATATTAATTTGCACAAACTTTGTTTCTTATCTGACTTCATCATTCACTTACCTGTCTACCTACCTCTCTACGCCTAACCTTGATCATGTTAAGACACATTTCATGTAGATTAACAAAAAAAAACTCAAACAAGCGCAACAATAAATGCATGATATGTTGCTATTGACCAAAATAAGACATGAAATTATTGTGTTATTGTTTATGTTTTGCAATTATTATTGTCCCATATATGTTTTTGTTTTTTCTTTAATAATTAAATTTTGTAAATTTAACATTGTACTTTTCAGTTTGTTTTATATTAAATATTTATTTTATTATCATATTTTAAGAGCGTACATCAAAGAAAATTAATAGTGACTTCATTTTTTAAATATTTCCTAATTATTAATATCGAAGGTGTATATATACAAATTACATAGGTTAGATTTGGGGAGGTACGGTTGTTGTAACAACCGTCCACTCGGAGACTATGTCCATTGTGATCATCCTTTGTATATATGTTTACCTATAAAGAAAAAGAAAAGATATAGTGGTAGAGTAGGTAGAAAAGATAGTGAGAAAAAAGGGGGCGGAATAGAGATTATTTTATCCAAGTCAATTTTTTGACAAAGCCTAGAATTTGGTTAGGGTCTATTTTGGAGAAGAAGACTAGATTATCAATTTCATAACTTCCAAACTGTTTATGTCTTCTGCTGATCAGCGATGGACATTTGCAGAGGATGTGCTCAATTGTTTCCAGTTCTTCTTCGTCCTCACATAGACGACAGTAATCCTCTCCACTGGAGTCCCACTTAGAAGTGAGAGATCTAATTTTGCAATGACCACGTTCTTTTACGAGAGAATTCAGGCCAGATAGATTTAGAGATTCTGCAAGCAGGTTCCATTAGCCATCTGTTACCGACTACCTCGCAATGGAACGCACGGAATCTGCCAATGAAATAGCTAATGGGGGTTTCACAGATCTCTCTATCAGAAGACTGGACGACTGTGATCCCCCTCGAGCAAGCTCGTCGGTTATCTCATTCCCTTCAATGTCGTTATGTTCTGGAACCCAACTATCAGTCGTATATCATTCAGAGCGATCTTACAATCATGAACTGCTTTCGAGTTTATAGTATGCGACTTCATCGCTTTCAGAGCCGCCTGACTATCGACATATATAGTCACCGGTCCCGTGATGTCGGCATTAAGTGCTTTTACTATCTCGGACGCTTTCTTATTGCGAGAATCTCTGCTTGAAAAACGTTATATATGAGTTGTGTATATTTAATTCCCTACAGTAGACGCCTGCGACCGTGCCTTCCTCCATCTTAGACCCGTCTGTGAAGATTGACAGACCTGGTAGAGGTAGGGAGCCACTTGTCCAGGATTCCCTACTAGGAAATTCAATTAAAGTCCCTATGGGGGGGGGGGAATATAACCACTGATATGATTATCCCCCCTAAAGAGATCATAACCTGGCGTTATGTTTAGGATGCTGGCATGACCATAGTTCAGCGATTTCAAGGCATCTGTTTCCCGGAGTCTCAGGGGACACCTGGCCGCCTGAAATTTGATCAGAACATACAATGGTTGGAGATTCAAGATTGCGTTCAAGGCTGCCTGTGGTGTACTTCTTAATGCTCCGGTGATCAGAATTGAAGCCGATCGCTGTACTAGGTTAGGTAAAAAGATTTTATGCCATCAGTTGTCTAGCTGCTGTTTTTATACTCATCCTAGGTAACTGAAAATAGAAAAAAAGAAAAAGAAAGGATAATAGAAATTGTCAGAGAAAGAAGATTGGTATTTAGTTTTTTAGCTTAAAAAGTTTAATATTTTCATGGGATCTGTTCCCAAGAGGAGTGATAGAGTACCAATTTCATATTTACCGAACAATATATGGCTTCTGTTGCTTAGCGATCAGTATATACATATATACAGACTATATGATCAATTGTTTCTAGCTCTTCCTCATCTTCACTAAGGCGACCAGATTTTGAAAATTAAAATAGATGACAAAAAGAAAAATATATATATTTTTAATAAAAATAATAGAATGTACATTTAAGGTCTGTTCCTTAACTTGCAAAAATGCACAACTTTTTACTGCGATAACATTTTTCCTTTATGGTATCGAAGAAAATAGTAAACATTTTTCGATTCTTGCAGTAGGGGAACAGACCTTTAGATTTACTTATAAATATATAAACTTAGTTAAAATATCGTTCATTACAATCGGGCCAAATTGTTGGTCCGAAGCGAATAATCTTTAGATAAAGATCTCAAGATTAATATTATTGCTAGAAGTACACCTATGCCGACTTTCCACTGATATTTTGCAACCCATAGGCCACAAGGAATAGTAAATTGAAGCCACTTTTGAAGGTATGTCTTTATATTGAGGACACATAGAAACGTAGAACCCAAGATATCCAATTAAAGCCTATTCTGTTGGAAAATGTGTCTAAAAATCCTGAAAATACAGACAAATTTTGGGCAGTTATATGTTTCTTTCCTACTAAGATTCGGACCCTTTTTTTCAAATATTTCACTGAAATTTCAGAAAATTTATTTATTAATTTCTTTTATTTTACAAAAATAGATATTGACTAAGTTAGAAATATATGACAGATAGAGGACATACATTGTATAGATGACAGCCAGTTAAAATAGATGATTGTCCTTTAAAAATAGGACGTATAGTCCCCCTATCTTCTCATAAACGTCAATAATCCACTCCTTTAATGTCCCATTTGCATGTGAGTGATCTAATCCTGCAGTGACCTGTTATGAACACTATAGTATCTAATTTTTGAAAGCTTCGTTCACTCCTTCGATAGGCTCATTAGAGCAAACACAGGCCATGATTTAACCTTCTTGATTACACTTTTGCACATATTGAATAGTTCCCTATAAATGTCCCCATCAGTACTAAATTCGGTCTTGCTGGTTTTATCATGTGGCCACTATACCAGTAATCTCTCACACTGCTTTTTAATCAACATCCTCGGCCGTTTTTTTAAAGGGTCAATATGCTGTAAATTACGTATGTTGCTAGTATGCCTATTGCATATTCAATTCTGTCATTTATATTGCCACTTCACATGAACATTAAGATCGTAATATCTACACCAAATTAAATTTTAAAGCACTCCTTCCCCTCATAGGGAATAACTCGCGGACTTCTTTGTGGTAAATTTAATGACTAATTCCAAATTTAAAATGATGGGATTTATAACTCTTTAATTAGTAATTTAACTTCACTACTTACTACTCCTGGCTTCTGTGAAGTTTAACCATATTTACATTGTAAGAAATATTTACTCGTCATTGAAACAGTAACCCCTAAAAAGAAACATTTTATTATTATTATCATTATTATTATTTATCGTACTTGTCGTTTTTCATAAAGACATCTTTAAGCCTAGAATATGTTGAGGTATACATATAATTAAGTTCCGATGGTCGTCATTACATTGTATGAGGTAATGGTATTCAGTCATATTATATGAAACCATATCCCGATTTGAATTCGCTTAGCTTATTTTGTTGTTACTGGCCCAAAATTAATATAATAACCTTAGTATTTATTAACGGCCAGTCGTCAGAGGCCTTTGTTTACCTCCTCTATACCACCTTAATAATTTGGATTTTATCATTTATAAATATATGTTATTAATTAACGAATTACATCGTATTGTAACAAAATTGTTCAATTCAAATCTAAACACTAATTACACATTTTTGTGTAAATTCGGCGTGTCATTTGCAAAATAATTTTGAAATTATTTCAACTTCTTTATTTGGTATTTTAGTTTTATTTCAATAAAAAACCCCCAACAAACTGTGTAAACTAGTTTTATAGTTGTGAACTACATTTTCATGTACGTGATATCAAGGTCAAGTGGTTGTATGCAATTGTGCTTGCCCTTCTTTCCCTCTTCGTCGTTGTAATAGTACCTTAACATTTAATGTAGATTTATAATAATAAAAAAAAACAGTAAAATAGCTACAATGTCTAATAGTGTAATAATAAAAAATACATTTGAGATGCTAGTGACGATTTTGTATATAATATGCAGAGGTGTGATGTAGTGATGCCTCAGTATTTTTCCCATGAATGCTCATAACATTTAGGCGTATTTTATTTCCATATACAATACGCGTTTGAATATGTCACAATATTAATTTAAAAACAAACGACCGGCCGCAGGTGATGATGTGGTGGTAATGGTTTTCTATTTCCAAAGGCGAGGAAAAACAGACAAAAAAATAAATAACAACGAATAAAGGGTTATTTTATTGGGACTTATATACATTTTTTTCATGTAGTGACTATAGATATCTATCGAAATAGCTATTAGAAAACCCCAATAAGAGAGGGAAACGTTTCCTTTGACACAAAATATATTTCCTACTTTACTAATTCTCAGAATTCTTTGTTCCTAATAGAAGTTCTAGAAAATGCTGAAGTCCTTCTAAAGGGTAGCACATTTTTCTTGAGACTTCTTGTATGTGAACCAAAGTTCACATACAAGAAGTTGTTTTCCTATTTATGCTGGGTACTCGAAATCTTTATGGAACTTAGGTCTTCAAATATTAAATTATTTTTGTATAACCCTTTATATTGACAGACATTCTGGCATCTCAAAATCAGTAAGCAATCGTTTTTTTTTCAACACTCAAATTCATAGAAATCGTATTTCATTCATAACGAATGTGTGATGCTTGTCAAAAAATTTGCTGATTCATTTCATTCACAAGCAAAAATGTTTTGATTTCATATGAATGTGGTTTTGTGTTTAAAACTTTGACTGATATTAGCGGCCGCTTACTTATATTGTGGTCAAAATATTTGAGTTTGTTGGAATTTCAGAAATTTATTCATTTTAGTTATTGCCTAAAGATCACCCTACCTATCGATGTGTATAGTTAGGAGCACAAATTTGCTGGTCCCAAGAATATCTGTATAGGCTCTCTTTCCTCCAATATCGATTTACTAAGAGGCTTAGATTTGGTTTTTTACTAAAACCATTATTTTCAAGCAGCTGAATAGTAAAATCAAAGCATCCACTGCAACTGCCCAATTGTCACAGGCTTGGGTACCGGCTTTGGCAATTCGACAGAGGGTGGCTGTGCCTTATCGGCCTTCTTGGAGACATTTTTACGGGCTCTCCTTCGGGCCGACTTCGACTGTCCCTACCTTCCGTCTTTGTGGATGCTGGTGTCTGAGACGTCTCAGTACTCAGTTTGCCCTTGGGGGATACTGATGGCTTATAAGTCTCAGGAAAGGAACTCCTTTCCCGTGATGGAGTCGCTGTCCCGTCCGATGAATCGGTTATAGTAGTTAACTGCTCTCCGGTACATCTTATTGGCAGCGATTTTCTTGGCATCGGCTTGTCTAGCAGTTACTGGTGGATGAGTCCCCAATCCATCATATCGACGTACCAGTATCCGCTTCGACATCCAACTGCCTGAGTAATCTCGCGACATCACTACTGCCCGTGTAGATTGTGTGCGGATCCTCAACCTCGCCTGACTAAGGCGGAAGGAGCCGGTTTCCTCTATTAAGTTGACGAGAAGATCCGACTACCTCTCCAGGATTTCGTTTAAATCGTCGAGAGTGGGGCATAAAGCAAAAGAGAGGTCCAGGGGAGTAGCTTGGGTCGTCAACACTTGAGGGGGTTCATTGAGATCTGACCATGTAAAGTTCGAGACTGAGGGTGCCAAGGCAGCAACACCAGCTTCAGTCGAAAAGTCGCATACTATTTTTTTTTTTTTTTATGGGGCTCCATAGAATGTGCTGTATGTGAGGGATTGAGCTCGACCATGCTATAGCCTCTTACCATGGCAAGGACTTGGCAGCTAAGCCTGAATAAGCTTGTTGAGGCGCCCAGGTATCAACAAGGCTCCGTTCTAATACAGTCGGGACCCTGACTGCAAACCGTAGAACGCTGATGGGCACGAGGTCGTATGACACCAAGCGTTAGGGGTCACTTTGAAACTCTCCACCTGAACCCGCTGATTGTCCGCAACTGTTTATTTGTTCTTCACAGATGCCCAATGAATAGTATTGGGAATAGTATTTATCACAAATATCTGCGGCATGCGCGAACCTCTTATATGGGCTATCAAAAGTGACCCCTAGAAGCAAGGGGTAAATAGATAAAGTAGCCGCATCTCCGATAATTTTTATTTGTTCAGTTTTAAACTGCCGATTTTCACTTCTCCTTTCTGAAGGTATCTCTGTCATGTCGATATCCAAAGGCTGCCAACGACTGTTTGTTTAACATTCAGCTGTTCGAAGTCCATAAAATAGTAGTAAATCAGAACAGTATATTTGGAATTTTACCCATATTGGTCAATCTAAAATATTATTTAGTTTCCAAAATAAAACCGATTAGCCGAGCTATCCTCCCTAGGAATGCCCTGCCCTCTTGGACATCTGTTTTTAGTTCATTGAGTGGTTCATTGAAGATGTTATACTCCATGAAATTAGTATTAGAAGCGCTAGTTCTTTTTATACTACACCAATTATATCCTTTATTATGTATCCTTATATGAAAGTATGTGTATGTGTATGTAAATGTACATATCGTGTTGAACATAATGACACACTCTATTTATTATCTAATCTCTATAACGACACACTTGATTACTGTACATATATGCACTTGGACCTAAATGTTTGCCTTCTTGTTTCTTTTTTCTCTCTCTCTCTTCGGTGTGTGGTGATATTTATCAAACACTTACCACAGGTGCAACAATTGGCCGGAAGTATTTATCAAGAGTTTGAACGCATGATAAACTGTTACGATGAAGATGTGGTAAAGAATCTAATGCCATTGTTGGTTAACGTGTTAGAATGCCTGGATGCATCATATCGGATAAATCAAGAGCAGGATGTTGAATTAGAATTGCTGAGGGAAGACAATGAACAGCTGGTGACACAATATGAACGGGAGAAAAGTGCAAGGAAGCAGGCTGAACAAAAGGTGAGCATTGCATTAATAAAGAAAAAAATTAAAAGGCTAATTCATTTTTTATTTTAGCTGCTGGAATCAGAAGATTTGGCTGAACAGGAAAACAAAGAACTGGCAAGTCGCTTGGAGTCACTAGAAAGTATAGTACGAATGTTAGAATTAAAGCATAAAAATAGTTTAGAACATGCCAGCCGTCTGGAGGAACGTGAATCCGATTTAAAAAAGGTAATTATTTATGCTAAACTTTTTTGGGGAACTATGTTTTTAATATATTTTATCATTTTGTGTTGCAGGAATACAATAAACTCCATGAACGGTATACCGAACTATTTAAAAATCATGTAGATTATATGGAACGTACCAAAATGTTAATGGGTTCAACCCATTCTCAAATGAGCTCAACATCAGAACGTCTGGAATTGAGTCGGGCAAGATTAAATCCAGTTGCAAGGTACGTACACAAATAAAATCATTAAGGGTTCTTACATATTAATTTTTACATTTTACTCTCCAGATCATCTGGTCCTGTATCATTCGGTTTCGCATCATTAGAAAATTCCGCCATGTTAGATACCGAAACAATTTGCAGTGTTGGCAGCAATTCGGATGATTCCGGACCACCATCATTACAAAATGAATTTGATAATCTACAGACGGTAGAGAGGGCGGCTGAAACCGATACATTGCAGCAACAAAATCAAGCCACCTCACCACAAAGTGATAGTAGTCCCACATTGCCAAATATACCATCTAACGGTTTGTATTCATTATTTGCTTATTTTCTTTTTTTTTTTACAACATTTAGATTCATTTAGGGTTTCTTTAAACAAAGTGCATAGTTCCATAAATGCGAAGTATTATGAAAATTTATAATACAGCCAAGAATCGAGGCAAAGAATTCATTGTAGTTAGGGGGTATTCTCTTCGATAGCTTAAAATTTAGAATTTTTTCTTTCACGCTCGAAAAGCAATCCAACAGCACTTAGAGTACTAAAAATGAACTGTATCCAGTTCCGTAATATATTGGACGAAATTAAAATTAAATTAAATTAGCCGCCAGAATTTCCCTTGTATCATACGAACGCACCACTTTATTTTCTATTTACCTCAGAACGCCGTACATTTATATAGCCTTCAACATAAGGTGAAGTGTATATTGAATTTGCCATTCATCTCGAAATACTCACCGGAGAACCCACAGAATATACCATCCTAACTATAATGTTTTAATATTGACCCAATTTTAAGGGTAGCCCCCATATTACGATATCCCCAATATTCTGTATTTTGGGATTTGGGACATGGGTTTCAACTGAATTAGCTGTAATTTGGTATTTTGTATTCTCATTGGGTGTCAAATCTCACTACCAAATATTATCAATATCGCTGCACGTTTTGGTATTGCTCCATATAACGGTATACTAGTGAAAAAGAATCTTCGACAAAATATTGAAGTCGAAGTCGTGTTTTAGATAGGTTATATGCAGGAAGAATATATCCATGTTATCCACATAAAAGTCCCATTATATAAGGGAAACCCTCTACAATAAAATGCTTACTTCGTCCTGATGTAGTAATTGATGCTATTGATAAATACCATATTAAAAAACATAGGAGAGAATCACTATTGGAATAACATATTTTTCCTTCTTCTCTAAACGACGTCAAGATACTTTCGTGAGATGACGTCCACTATGACTTGATGTGCTGCGACATTATGGAGAATCCTTTAGGTCTATGTATATAATTAAAAAATATTGTGGGGTACCGCTAACTACTACAGTAACATGTTTTTCGCGTCAGTGAACTTTATTTCCCAATATAGAACTATGCATTTTATAAGAATTTTCAGATTATTGCATTCCTTTACTAATACATATTTACATTTTAAACGAAATTTTTTTTTTAATTTCTTTTGTCATTTAATATTGCATTTGCCTCCATTATATCTTTTGTTCTTGTTCGAAAATAATCATATCTAACCATCAATCTACAATAATATTTTCCATTTCCAATACAAAATAAATTTAACCTCGATACTACTACCACTACTATTTAATATTGTGTTAACCGTATACTATCCTACTTTTTTGTTCTTATTTTACACAATTACCTAAACTACACCCACAACAAAAATTAACACGAAATAAAAACTGAATGATGTTCCTCGTCCTGAAATATTTCCTGTCATTGTGTTTTGTGGCAACATTCGCTCGCTCGCTCTCTCATAAAATGTAAATGTGTACTGTGTTTGCCAAAACAACAATATCTATATGCATTCTCTCCAACCATCCTCCAAATCGAACATTATCTTGTTGCATATTTCAAAATAAAAATCTTCATAAACACAAAAACAGTTGGTCGTACGACTACGAAAAAGGAACAACGCTCTGCCAATACCTTATACCAAGAGCTGTCCTTTCAAGATAATGAAGAGAGCGAAGATAACGAAATTGTTACAGGTATGTATCGGAAGATATATATAATTTTAATATATAACTACCCTAATTATAACTCACAAAAAGTTCAATAATAAATTTGTATATGTGGGGGCGAGGGTTTTCTTTTTATATAAAATTATGATTTGAAAATTATATCAATGTTGTTTTCTTATACATATATTTTCTTTTGTCTCTTTCTTTTTGTATATTTGTATAACTTTGTGTCAATAAAAAATACTACACTCGCAATATAAACACCCGCACAAAATATTGAAACATCATCATCAACAACAACAACAATATAAATATTCAAATATTGCATCTAACTGCCTCTCTATCTGCCTACTTCCTGTCTGAATGTGCAATGCTACCAAACAATCTATGCTAACAGGGAGCTGGGTACATCCTGGGGAATATGCTTCTTCAGGTAGGTATCAAGAATCATATTTATATGGCTTTGTGTACATTACGTGTAAATATTTAAAACACAACATAATACATATCAACTTCTGACAAGAAACAAATCAAAACAACCCAAACCAAAAATAAGAAACAAAATGACCGACACTAATACTCGACAATGAATTTTAAATTCCTAACAAAAACTACAAATTGTTCTCAAATAATAAGTATTATTATTGTTATATATTTTATTATTAACTGTTATGTATATTTTTGTGTGTTTAAAAAAGAAATAAGTTCCTCCAGTTACAAACAAAAAATAATAAAACAAACATTTTGTAAAGCAAGAAATACTCATATTTTTTTCTTTTTTCCCATATCTTGTTGTTTCACATTTTCTTTATATCAACAAAAAAATGAAAATAAAAAATATGCTGTTCTTGTTGTTTTATCCCAATAACAACAAATGTCCTAAAATTAAAAAAAAAATCAAACAAACACCAAAAACATTAACAAACACACATCCACTGTGTTTTACCATTGTCCTCCGGATTTCCATCATGTGTTTGTTGTAATATTGTCGTTACTTTACACATGCCAATAAACACAAAATTATCTTAAAAAAGCTAATGACAACTACTTTGGTAAGTTGTATTTTTTTATATATCAATATATGTATTTTTTTGTAGTGTAACAAAGTAGCCGTAATGTGGTTTGTTGTAGTTTAATTTAGTCTTTATTTTGATTTTAATGTAATATTGATTATTTGGTATTTTCATTTGAAATTCAAAACGATCTGCTTCAATCACAATTTTTATTTCTTAAGACCAGGAAATTGTCGAATACCATTCATTATGTGATGAATTGACAAACGTTAGTGGTTTAATGACGGCTAAGATCAGGATGGTTCAATCGCCTCTTATTCAAACCACACGACACATTGCATCCTTTCGGCAATTTTTTCTAATTTTTATATTAGCATATCATTTCATATCGGATAATTACTCAGAATTATACATACACTTATTTACTTTGAATTTCAAATGAAAATATTGTATTTATTGTTGTATACTTTAAAAAAACGTAGTAGGTTTTTTGTATGGTGTTGGTATTCTTTTTCTTTGTAACATTTTTTCATATTCAGATTTCTTTATTGTATTCTAATTACGAGCACCTTTTCATCGAGGATAATGTAGTGCTGTTAAGAGTATTATATTTGGAATAGGCTGATTCTAATGGGAACGTATCACCTTTCCTTTTATTGACTCTGCCATGTTATTTTCTTATAGTTGCTTTACCGGGTTTGGGAGCCCCGACACTTTAATAAAGCTTTGTATATCCTAAACCATAAGGTGGAGTTTATATAAAATTTGCCATTCCATTTTGGAACACCTCGAGATATTTACCGGAAACCCAATAAAGTAAATATATATATACATATATATTTGATCGGAAAAAAATTCTATGTCGATTTAGCCATGCCCGTCTGTAGAAATCACGATAGAGGTTGCAATATTTATGATAGAACTCTGAAATTTTGCAAAGATTTTGCTAGTACCACTAGGATGATTGGTATTGCTAATGGGATATATCGGTTTATGTTTTAGTGTAGTCCCAATATAACGTTATCCCCGAATATTCGGTATATTGGGCACGCTTTTCAACCGAATTGACTGTAATTTAGTATTTTGGGTTATCATTGTATAACACACCTCGGTAATAAAAATGATTATTATTGATTTAAATTTCAGGGTAGACCCCATATAACATTAATCCCCAATATTCGGTAGTTTGGATACGTTTATCTACTTTGTATTCTCATCGGGTGTCAATTCTCACTATCAGCAATTATTAATAGTGACTTATGTTTCAGGGTAGACCCCATATTTTGGGATTTTGGAAACGTCTATCAACCAAATTTCCTAAGGTTCCTTATCTTCCTAAGGTTGCACAATATGCAGTTGTATAACATTGAAGAAAAATATTGTAGTCTGTATGGAAAAAAGTCCGTCACTAAAAGAAACATCTGCTCTGAAAAGGAATGTTCTGGTGTGATGCCAAATGTCCGAACCATGACACGGTTGAATTTAATTCGTAAATGCAATTTCACAACAATATTCGACATAAATACAACTTATCAAGTAACGACATTTGTAAGCCACATTGCCCAATATGCCTGATGAGCCGCTTAACCAACGCCGAACGGCTTTCCTTTTCATTGCAACTCCGATCATGTAGCTCATCTTGAAAGAGAATGTAATAAAAACAAATTTGTTGTAATTTGATATTCTACATTCTCATTGGGTTTCAAATCTCTCCTATCATAATTTATTATTATATTGATCCAAGTTTCAGGGTAGCTCCCATATAACGGTACCCCCCAATATTCGGTATTTTGGGGATTTTGAACACGTTTATCAATAAAATTGGATTTTATTTTGTATTTTATATTCTTATTGCTTATCAAATCTGGCTACCAAAAATTATCAATATCGACGTCCGTTTTCGGTATTTTCGGAATTTAAGGATCCAATACCAGGAAGTCCCATTAATTTTATATATTTTGAATGCCAACCTCATTATGAAAGGTATAAAAAGTTCGACCAGGCCCAGTCGCTCGATAATGAGAAGAAAGATTTTGAAAATTTCATAAAACCATGTATTGTCGTTTCATTTTTCATGCTGTACTGATGGCAATATTTGTCGCTGCCTTGGCAAAGTATTTCTTGATCGGATATTGTAATTAGTAAAACGGTCAATTAATTCTTTGGACGTCAGCGTAAATATTTGCCTTGATGTTAGCTTAGAATGTAATAACGAAATCGATCGACTTTGAAATTGATTTTCCGGTCCCCCTATGGTCGGTCAGCAGATAAATTTTCATTTTATTTTGAATCTTCATGCACCTTTTCGTGCAAACTAAGACATTCTCTTCTCAATTGAATTCGGTGCATATAAATAAAAAACATTTAACCCTTTTAACGCGACCCTAGAACTATTTTCTGTGCACATATTTAATGCAACTATCCTAAAAAGGATATGAACAAAATTTGACACCGCTTCCTTCCTTGCATTCGAGTACATTATTTCTGAAAATTAAAAGCCCAATATCAATAAATGCAAAGGGAATATCGACGAAACATATTTTTAAATTATTCTTGGAACTATTTTTACAAGAATCAAGCATAATTTTGTTCTCAACTATGTATTGAAAAGCGTATAACTTCAGCAAATTTTGTTTAGATTTTTCTTTTGATATGTTATCCAATATATATACTAGTTGCCTATAGGCAACAGTGGTCCAAAAAGGGTTCATAATAATTGTTTTTAAACAACATTCGATTAACTTTGAAGTGGGACACCCCCTACGGTCAAAGGATTCGCTTTCAATTAGAATTTTCTTTATATATTTTGCCAGGTAAAATAGAACATTCTCTTTCCAGTTAACCCCGATCCATATTTAGATAATATATATTTTTATAACAACATTTTCTATACTATTTTCTTTAATTTGTACCTAAGTATATATTTTATATTTTCTTTATTTTGGTTATGGTTGTAAATTATGTAACATTTAAAACAAACACATTTTTCTTATTAACCCCTCATTTTTTCCTAGTAATTGATTTCATTGTTGCTAAATGTAGAACATTTCTTTGTGTAGTAGAATTCGAAAAAATAAAACAGCAACAAATTGACCGTTTAAATTTAAAATTAATTTCTATTCTATTGTTTTTCAGGCATGGGCAAAGAGGTGGAGAATCTCATCATGGAGAACAATGAGCTCTTGGCTACTAAGTATGCAAAATCATTCATATTGTTGCAACACATATTAACCTATTTCCGCTTATCTTTCATTTTTCTTCGCACAGGAACGCTCTTAACATTGTCAAAGATGATTTGATAGCCCGAGTTGATGAATTAACCGGCGAAATTGAAATCTTACGTGAAGAATTGAATGCCATGCAACAGTCAAGGAACAAATTACGTACCAAAGTCCAAGAATTGGAGGAAGAATTGAAAAAGACCAAAGAACAGGTTAAGCAACAATGTACGTAGAGAGCATCGAATACTTGACTTGCCCAATCACTTTTAAATACAATTTTTATTATTCTTTTTCCTTTGTTGCAGCCGACAATGACCAAGACGAGAATGATGTGCCCTTGGCCCAACGTAAACGTTTTACACGTGTCGAAATGGCCATGGTACTCATGGAACGTAACCAGTACAAGGAACGTTTAATGGAACTGCAAGAGGCTGTGCGTCTAACCGAAATTCTAAGGGCATCACGTACCGTAGATAATTTAGATAAGAAATCAAAGCAAAGCATTTGGAAGTATTTTAGTAATCTTTTTACGTAAGTTGTAATTATGTTTTGATGCGCAATTGCATTCTATTAACCTTCTTTCCCTTTGCAGCCCCTCTAATCGCCCACCAGAACGTGTCAGCGATGGCCAAGGGGGTGGACCTATTTTTCGTTACTCAAGCCCATCCCACTCCCATGGATCCCCCAGTCGAAATAGCGACAGTCGCCTTGCCATAACTGGCGGTCGCGATGGTCCCCTACCACACCCGGCAAGCGCTGGCCTAGCCAATGCTTTGCCCAACAAAGATTACACCGAAGAGGGTACGTCGGAACGGGCCAGAGCCAGACGTCATGAACAATATCGCCAGCTGCGAGCTCATGTCCAAAAAGAAGATGGCCGCTTACATGCATACGGCTGGAGTCTGCCAGTGAATAAAACAGAAAAGGAACCCCAAACACGACATTCTGGTGGTGTACCAGTGCCAGTCTATTGCAATCCCTTGGCCGAGGCATCGCCGCACATGAAAGTATTTTGTGCAGCTGGTGTTAATCTTAATGGTGGTTTCTTCAAAAATGGCCAGTGTATTATACCAAGTAATTCACCGTTTGCTCCTCGTTCTACCGCAAAAATTGCCGAAATAACTAGTCCCTCCGCTGAACATTCGGCTGAGGCATTAGATCGACAAATTACTCGAGCCAGCCTTGAACATTTAGAACCGGAGACACAACTGACTCCCTATGTCTGGATATGTACCAGCACGCATGCAGCCAGTACTGTAACGGTTGTCGATGCCAATCAATCGGCATCGGTGTTAGATGTGTTCCCGGTGTGTGCCTCCCATTTATTGTGCATTGCCTCTGTTCCCGGTGCCATGGAAAAAGACTATGCCTTATTGGAAAATTCCGAAGTCATAAAGGCTGGCGAAATGCTGGAGAGGCCAGGCGATGGGCCCGAAGGTCTCGGCAAAGTAGAATTTGTACGTGTTAAACCAAAATCGGATAAAAACAGTAATACCAAAGATTCGGCTGAACCTGTCCTGGAGGTGAATGCCGAAACGCCAGTCGAGGAAAAGGCTAAAGAAGCTACAGAAAAATCCAATGAACAGAACGGTACGGCGGTACCCATTGAACCCTTGGGCAATGTTAATGAAATCAAAATACGTCAACCCATACCCGGTGCTCCACAACGTCTTCGCAATGAAACAAATAATGCCGCCAGCACGAATGGCGATGCGCTCACTACGGTGAACGCCACCAGCAACAACAACAATTCATTAAGCCAACAGCTACCTTTCTCAAAACCAAATAATCCCATATTGGGAACAAAGGATCGCCAGGAGGATGCCATGAGTTCGGTTGGTCCAACCATGTGGATGGGTGCCCAGGACGGTTGGTTGTATGTGCACAGTTCTGTTGGCCGTTGGCATGAATGCTTGCATAAAGTTCACTTGCCGGATGCCGTCCTAGCGATAGTTCATGTTGAATCACGGGTCGTGGTGGCCCTTGCAAATGCACAATTAGCCGTGTTCCGTCGCCAAACAGACGGCCAATGGGATCTGAATAGTTATCATCTAGTTACGCTAGGTGACCGTAATCATTCGATACGTTGCCTCTGTGTGGCTGGCGAACGCATATGGGCCGCTCATCGCAATAAGATATTTATTGTCGATCCGATTTCATTGAATGTCATCCATTCGCTGGATGCTCATCCGCGCAAAGAGAGCCAAGTACGACAGATGGCGGCAACAGGTGCTGGTGTGTGGGTATCGATAAGGTAACAAGAAAACAATTTGAAAATGTTATTTGCTCTAGGTTTTTATATGAGAGTTTTATATTAATGTTGTTATATTTATTTTTTGTTTTCGATAGACTGGATTCCACATTACGCCTGTATAATACCTACACATTTGAACACAAACAAGATGTTGACATTGAACCGTATGTTTCAAAAATGTTGGGTACTGGAAAATTGGGTTTCTCCTTTGTACGCATAACGGCCTTAATGGTCTCGTGTAATCGCCTCTGGATAGGCACAAGTAATGGCGTTATTATTTCTGTACCTTTGTCGGAGGGTCAAGGTAAGGTATTTAGTGACTTATTAGAGGGGATAAAAACTGAGCAACAAATAGCTAATTATTTTGATAGAATTTGGTGTTGTGGGAGGGGCTCAAATACCTCTGCACTTTCATATGCAGAATTTTGTAAATTTGGCAGAATTCATCAGGGGTTTTCCTCTTAGTGGTACCAGCAATAATTAACCTATTAATATTCCCTTCTCCCTTTTGCAGGCGATCCCAGTACTCAATTGCCAACATGCTGTATGGCAAATGCTCAATTGTCCTTCCATGGACATCGGGATGCAGTTAAGTTCTTTGTGTCCGTACCATTGCGACAAAATAACAGCGCTCAATTACAATTTACTAACAAACGGCCCGATATGTTGGTAATGTGTGGCGGTGAAGGTTATATTGATTTTCGCATAAGTAAGTACCTAGCTCTAAAATCAATTTATATAAAATTGTTTGTACGTATGTAGTGGCCTATATAGAAGTAGTATTTAGCTGGAATACTTTGGTCTGGTTTCAAATATTACATTTTTGTTTCTTACAATTTAAATATATTTATTTTGTTGTTCTTATCACAGGACAAGAAAGATCTATAACTGATGCTAGTGATAATGCTGCGCATTTGATAGTTTGGAAAGTTGATTCGTAAGAAATTCTCTTATTTTTATTATTTTGTTTCTGTTTTCTGTTTATTGTTTTTTTTTTAATTCTTTGTTGTAATATTGAATGCGGCAAAAATCTAAACTAACGTTTTATTTCTTCATTTGTTTAGAACATTTAATTTATAGTTTGTTGTTTACAACTACTATTTGAACCCGTTAATCTAATTCTGAATGCAACGATGGCCTATGATCTTGAAAAACTATGGGTCTCTCACATTATAACGCCATATTAGCGCCAATATTTATGTGTCGTCTTCATTTAATTGTTGTATTATATAGAAAATGATTGGAAAAATATCAATTCGAAATAAAGCAGTATTATGTGACCTGATATTATCTGAAAATTGCAAAATCGCGAATAAAAAGGTTTATATATATTTTTTGTTTTTTTTATGTACGATGCAACATTTCAAGAAATTGGTGTTTTTCGCGTTAAAATTTTGCACTATGTTTCTATGCGTTTTTGGGTCAACACATTGGCTTTTCGGTATAATTTGCAGTTTCGTACTTTTTTTTACACTTGTTGGTTTTCTTATTATTTTACACAATTATCAATTTGGCTAAACACTCGTTGAAGGACACTTATTAAAGAGATGTTATGTTTTTATAAAAAAATAAATTATTTTGGTTTTGGTATTATTCACTAGATGTCTTAGTTCTTTCACGCTTTGGTAAACTCTTATTATTTTAAAATTTCTATTACAATCCAACTACCAAATATGCGCAGATTATATGAATATCAAAACAAAATTAAACATTTGTGTATTATAATTTAAAAGACAGTTATTTTTTACCGGACATATTTTGTACATACACATGATTCTTTATTTCTAGAGCGACGCATCCATAATACCCTTAGCCTAGAAATGTATAAAACCAACGAACACAAAATTTTGATTATTAATACCATCGAATTTTCGGAGAGTTTACTTTATTTTCTCGATATATTTTCCACGCTCAGAAATTTTTTCAGCGGAAAAAAAGCGTTTGGCTACCATATGCTACAAAAAAGTATTCGTATACATTAATTTAGGGTAACCCCGTGTCAATTTTACAACGAAAACGCTAAACAGGAATAAATTGGTTTCCATTAAATTTCTCTTTCGAGATGAGCTGCATAAGTTGCAATGAAGAGGAAAGCCAGAGAGACGCGTCTTACCCACGTCTTTAAAGCATTGTAAAACTATTCATTTTAAATCGATTTGATAACAGAGACCCGGAAATAGGGTGTAAGACGTATTACCGATTCCCAAATGAATACCCGCAAATTTACCCAATTTACCGGGTATTTACCCACTGCCCATCTCTACCAGAGCCTAATTTCGTTGAAATTTTGAGATTCGGATATCCCAGTGGCCGGAAATCATGCCGCCGTCAAAAAGAAGGACTTTTCTTTATTTAGCCGATCTCTTCTTCATTGGACAAATATACCTTCTTTCTGAGAACATGCGAATACATCACGGACAGAACACTCGGATAAATACAGGCATATGTTTGTAACAGGCAAAATGAATCGCGATAGACCCATGGTACCTTTTGAGAATATACATAGAATCACTTGCTGAGTCGATTTATGCATACCCGCCTGTCCGTCCGTCCGTCCGTCCATGAAGTACAGGTCGCATTTATGATCCGATTTGAATGAAATTTGTCACAGCTTACTTATTTGGTCCAAGGACCAAACCGATTGAAATTGGAGAAAATCGGTTCAGATTTAGATATAGCTCCCATATATATTTTCGTAAGATTTTTGGTAAATGATGCACCAAACTCCCAATACTTGTCCCATCCAATCAACATTTTGCACAGCGTACTGGCTTAAGGGGACCCCACCCATTCTCGATTTTAATTTTTCAAGATTTTCAATGGGCTGGTAAATGAATACAAATGCTTGTTAAGGTTTGTAACTTTGCACATATATAATTGAAGATTTAAAAGAGAAGAAAAATAATTTACAAATAATTTTTGTTGTTGTTTTTTGTAATTAAAGAAAAGTCCTTATTTTTGATGGCGGGGATGATAACTCCTCACTGGAACATCGGAATCCGAAAATTTAAACGGTGTTAGAAAGAGTACATGTCTGGCTCTCGTATGAACTAGGATTATTGACTTCGCTCTAAAATTAACAAAATGGTGGACCTTTGAAAAAATATTTTTGGAAAATCGCCGATTTTTTACCAAAAACCAAGTTAAAAAATAAGGAAGCTCTTCACCGATTGGCTTTATCCTAGTTCATACGAGAGCTATACACTCCCAGAGAAACGTTGCAAAATTTGGAACCGATTGGATTATTAGTTTTTGAGTTATCGTGCCCGCCATTCGCAAAAAAATGTTTAGAAAAAATGTTAGAAAGACATGTACTCTTTCTAACACCGTTGGAATTTTCGGATTCCGATGTTCCAGTGAGGAGTTATCATGCCCGCCATCAAAAATAAGGACTTTTCTTAAATTACAAAAAACAACAACAAAACAATAACAAAATTTTTTTGTAAATTATTTTTCTTCTCTTTTAAATCTTCAATTATATATGTGCAAAGTTACAAACCTTAACAAGCATTGGTATAGATTTACCAGCCCATTGAAAATCTTGAAAAAATAAAATCGAGAATGGGGGGGGGGGTTCCCTTAAAGTTTGAGAAGCCCTTCAGCCGTCACTTGATGCTGACACAATAAATCGGCTATATCTTCAAGAGTTCTTGAGATTTTCACTTGAAATTTTGTAGAGACATTCTTTAATCAGTGTAGATTCGAATTATATCAAAAAAAAATTTTGACCCCGAGAATGGAGGGGTCCCCTTAAGTCCAGTTTGATGTCCGTGAAGTTTAGTTAAAATCGTTTCAGATTTAGATATGGCTCGTCCGATTTTATGTAAATGGTCCACCCAATATTTGTCCGATCAAGACAAAATTTTGTGGAAATCGGTTTAGATTTAAATATACCCCCCATATATAGTTCCGTCCGATTTTATCTAAATGGGGCACCAATCTCCCAAAAATTGTCCGACTGAAACAAAGTCTTGCACAGCGTTCTGAGTTAAGTCCAGTTTAATGTATGTGGATTTTTTTAAATCAGTTTAGATTTAGATAGTTTCGTCCGATTTTATGTAAATGGTGCACCGAGGAGCCTACGACTGTTCCATATACACGAGATAAAATTGTGATCAGCACACTGTGCTGCAGCATACCAAATGGTATATACCACGGTTGCGAAGTTTTGTGGAAATCGGTTCGGACTTAAATATACCTCCCATATATAGTTCCGTCCGATTTTATCTAAATGGTGCACCAATCTCCAAAACAATCTCTGAAAAAAAATCTTGCACAGCATACTCAATTAAGTCCAGTTTAAAGTCTGTGGACATTTAATCCGTTTAGATTTAGATAATTTCGTCCGATTTTATGTAAATGGTGCACCAAGGAGCCTACGACTGTTCCATATACACGAGATAAAATTGTGATCAGCGCACTGTGCTTGCAGCATACCAAATGGTATATACCATGGTTGCTAAATTAGGTCCAGATGTATAGGGGAGAGGATCAACTTTAAACAGCGCTCTCGGTTTAAAATTTTTTCGACCCGCAACCAATTTTTCTTATATGCCAATCTTATTCTTTATCTGCGTAAACCATTTAGGGACTTGACAATTGGCTTGTAGTTTATGCAATGTGATTGCACTTTTTTAAATGTTTAGTTTGCAATTTTAATATGATTGTTTTAATAAAAACGTCTTAAAGATGCTACATCTGTATTTTAATCAAATTTACACACAATATGGCAAGTTGTATAAACTAAGTGTACACACAATTTTTGCATATATTAACAAATAACAGAGCTTTTTTGTTTGCACCATTTCACAATATTAACTAAAATTAAGTTATTTATTGCTTTAGTAATCTTGAATTTATTTATTTTTCTTCTAGATGACAATGATATGGAGAAGAGCATTAATTTGGAGCAGAATCAGACAATCGAAAATCGCGGTGACAAAAGTTATTTGATTGTGTGGCATGTTAGTCAACGTTAAAATGCATGCAATTGTTGTTTAAGACACTAAAGTTGTTTTTTTCTTTCTTTCATAACTAAACAAACCAACCCCCCTTCTCATCCTAATCACTAATATATTTTAATTATATAATTATTAATAATTTATGTTTTATATATATTTTGTATACAACAAATGAAAATTATTATAGATAAATTTAAATTGTATTCATACAATTAAAATGAAAACAGAAACAAAAAAACTAAATAATAGTAGAATCATACCATAACACCATCACCAAAACAAAGTAAAGTAAACATTTTAAGTAGCAAACGCATGAAGCAAAGGACTAGATAAGAAGGATAGAGCTTTTAAAAAATAATATTTTTTCTAAATATGAAAATTAAATAATTAAGGCATTCAAATTTTATTTTCGATTAAGTGTTATGTTTTGAGCTTTGTTTTTAAATATGAAATTAAAGCTTTATACATACAAGACAAACAAAAAGAAAATAATATACTTTGAAACATATTAGGAAAAGACAACAAAAGCAACAACAAACAATGGAGATAATTATTACATAAATATTTATATTTATACATACATATATTTAAATTACATATTATGTAGACAAGTGATATTGTAACCTCCCCAAAAAGATGAAGAAGAAGTAAAACCATAGAAAACAAACAACAAATAATTTATTAAATAAACCACAATTTAAATTAATAACAAAACATAAAGATACATTATTAATGAAAACATGCAGTTAGCAAGAAAATATATAAATTAATATTTTGAATCTTTCTAAACAAAAAACAACTCACTTATAACAAATCAAAATCCCAACTAATATTTCTTTTTTAACCTTCTCATATCTTTCTTTATGCATCACTATATTCCTTTGTTTTAATTAGTTTCTTTTAAAAAAGGTTATATTATTTTCTATGTTTATTTTATTTTTTTTTTAATCTAAATTTACCTCTGTATATATAATTTGAAAATCACTGTATATTATTTTCTCATTTAATTTAGTTATACGAAAACAATTAACAACAAAAAAATATATAGATTTTATTGTTTTAAAATAATTTGTTAAATTTGTTTGTAAGTTTTTATTTTAAATTAAAATCTCCCAAGAAAATCGATAAATTTCTCAATTATTAAAAGGGTTTACATTGGTTTGTTGTAGACCCCTCTGTTCGTTTCCACGACAGAGAGGTCTACGATCCTCAGCCCATTGTGTAAAAGCAATAGGGCTGCTACAACAACAACATTGGTTTGTTTGAATTTAAGACTTAATGGTGTCGCAGAGAAGTAGGAAGAGGGCCCAACTTCCTTCTATTAGACTTTTTGAGACTCTTCCGAGGATCAAAAAGATTTAGATTTGGTAAAAACTTACCAAATTGAGACGAGACGGATACGCAAAAGCATCAGATTTTATCGATGAACTTTGTGATGGAGAATAAGTCAATAGTCTTTGTCCCAGATACACTCTAATCTAACGACGCTCTAGATGATGAAATCAAACATTTCAGGGTCAAGACTGGGTGAAAATTCTTACACTAATCTTTTAAGCTGTATTGGATGTAACCTTTCGTTCGTTCCGATAGAAGTCGCCCTTATACGAGTTGATATATCGCAAATAGATCCATGTCCATTATTTCTTTTAAAGTTCCTCAAAAACTTTTTCCTTGATCAGATAGAATTACTTATTTGATATGTATTTTTATGCGTTACTCACTTAGCTTAGATATTTTGGTAAGTCAAGTGTAGTTTTCGAAAGTAATGGTTTGTTGGTTCCGATAAACGTTAAAAAAAGACTTTCCGGCTACGCTATTTATCGTTGATGATAAATTTTTATCAAAAGTGTGAAACTTCGATACCATCTTTTAACATGAGGGAATTGACTCAAAGTTCGGCTGGGATTTTTTTCTTGTGAAGATGTAAAGATTCAAAATCCTTTACTAACCCGAGAACTTATTTTTTTACTAGTCTGTATCCGTGCTCAGTCACCAAGGAACTGAAGCAATTGATGTTTGAAAGAGGATAAGGAGGTATCAATCTATTGTGAACGAGCTTGTAGAAATTGCACAAGTCAAAGTTTTTACCACGTATTATAGATCGACTAGGCTGAACATATTTGTACACATTTAGTCGCAAGGAAAACTAAACAATTTGAAAAGTATTCATTTTCTAAACATGGCTGTGGAGGGACACGAGTGATATTGAATATTATTCGGTATTGAATGTTCATAGAATTTCAATGATTCTTATAAATTAGTAATCAGTTCAAAAGATGAAAATATTTCTAGTTAAATTGTATTTTAATATCTTTTCTCTCTCTCTCTTTTTTATTTACCTTTAATTTTTTTTATCTATATAACACATTATTATGCCTTTAGGTCAAGTATTGGAAAACAAATATATATGCAATATTTTTTATAAGATCATATTTTTGTTTTGTAAATATTACAACATAAAATGTTTTTTTTTTTTTTAATAAAAATAAAACCGAAATAAGTATTGATGATAAAACAAAAGTAAAGGAAAACACACATATAAATAGTTACTTATTGTCGTAAATAAAAAAAGAATAATAATATAACGAAAAAAATATATAAATGAACGATTCGAAATAAAAATTAATTTGCCTCAGTATTGAGTTTTTTCCAGTAAATATTTTACTGATGATTGATTTTTTGTATTTGTGGTAAGTAGCTTCTGAAATTTAGATTTCTCCGTAACAATGAAAATATTTTCTATAATAAAATTATGAAATTGGGAAAAATTATTTCTGTTGGATTGTTGAGATACGTAGTTATGGAAATTTATATTAATGTGTACTTAAGTGTACAACATTTTTAAAATTCGGATTTGGGTGAACCTATAGAGTTCGAATCATTAAATTTGAAATTCGTTTTGGATCAATCAAATTTAGTAAAAAAGCTAGATTTTTATTGCAGTCAGAATTGATGCGTAGTGTTATGATATGGAGATAGTTTTGGAAATACGTACTATATGAGAACAAAAGTGCTGAATGGGACTCAAAATTAAATTATAGTCGATATTGGCGAGTAGGTTGATAAGCTCTTCTGACATATGCAGTAAATATAAACAACTGAAACTAGGTGAAATCTCCAATGCCACAATTGCGAACTGCTGCAACAGAGTGCCTCTTCATGACCCTAGCGGATAATCCACTTGAGGAGACGAAGATCTTTCCCTTACGACAATCTTTGAAAGAGGTTAGGATATCTCTAACCAGCATTTGGTGGATAAAACTACCACACTCAGGCGCGTCAGAAAGGATTTGCATAATCTAGAGTGTGGTCCAAAGATGTAATAGATCAAGAACAATGGTGGGCAAAATTTCTCTTAAAAATGTTTAATATATTTCACGGGATATTTGTTATTATTTTTAAAACATAGATAATATCCGCAATTCTTTTTATAAAAATTGCGGAAAATTTTCCAGAAAGGTTTATTTTTGTTTTAACATAAAAAATGTGGAACGTGTGGTGTGCAAGATATAATAGATCAAGAAGCCTATCGAACAAATATATATTTCACGGGAGATTGTAACTTTTAGAAGTAACCGCAACTTTTATATTGGGATAGATCCAAACAATGCTTGAACATAACTGCAACAATAACAACCAAACAGTTAAGTAATATATTTTTTCAAAGTAAATAAATAATAAGTAAAAAAATATTTTTTCAAACACAAAACAAGTTGTAAAAAAATATTCATAAAAAAAGATTTTTTTAATTACAGAAATATATACATATATATAATAAATGTATAACGAATTTATAAAAAGTGTTCTATTATTCAATTCATTTTTGAAAAATATACATATTTCGTTATCTTTCGAATTCAAAACGGAAATAAAAATCCGTTGTTTTTTTAATATAAAACACAACGCAAAGCGGCTGATAGGTGTTTAGGTAAAGCTCTACCATGACACAGTGTCGTATGGCGCGTCTGCTGGTCGATAACATTGCAAATTCTTTCCGATAGAATTTGTTTGGGCCAATAGTATGGCAAGGCTGAATGTAGTAATACTTATTTACAGTCCATATTATTATTGCCGGTAGTGCATTTCTTATTTGCATTTTTTATTATTCAAAAATAAACAATCAATTATTGGAATTGGGCGTTACCCCTAGAAGTATTGGAATCTTCGGGACTTTGTAATATTTTTGTGAAAGATGTGAGTAAATATGAAATATAATAAATATCTAATATCAAAATCAATAATGAGACTTCATTCACTTTATTTGGCAATGTATTAAGTCATCGCACATTGATTTTTTGGGGTTTGAGACAAAGGTCATTTCCGACAACCGAATGAATCCAATCTTTTAATACTTGCCAAAGTAAGAGTGTGATAGGTTGTGTTGAGTATTTCGTTGTCGTTGCTTCTATTTTGAGATAAGAATGTGAGAATAAGGTTTCATTGACATTTATTGTATTTTTTTTTACTTGTAGATAATAGAAGTACGTACGGTGGCAAAGAAGTGAACTAAAGAGTTGCTATTGAAACGGAACACATAATGGCTGCCGAACGTTTGGATGTTATTATTTTTGGCGCATCGGGATTTACCGGTAAATATACAGTATTTGAAGCTGTTTCCGTGTTGGCCGATTTAAAATGGGGTATTGCTGGCCGTAATCGCAAGAAACTGGAAGCCGTCCTCGAAGATATGGGAACCAAGGCAAATAAAAATCTCAAGAACACACCCATTATAATTGCCGATATTGACGATCAAAGTTCACTGTTGGAAATGGCCAAACGTTGTCGAGTTTTGGTAAATTGCTGCGGACCCTATCGGTTCTATGGTGAACCCGTTGTACGCGCCTGCATTGAGGCTGGTACTCATCATGTGGATGTAAGCGGCGAACCTCAGTATATGGAAACAATGCAATTGAAATACCACAGAGAAGCCCAGGAGCGCAACGTGTATGTTGTATCGGCATGTGGCTTTGATTCCATACCTGCCGATATGGGAATTGTATTTATTGAAAAGAACTTCGATGGTATTGTCAATTCGGTGGAAACCTACTTGCAAAGTTATACAAAGGGTGGTTCTAACAGTGGTGGTGGCGCTGGCATTCACTTTGGAACATGGGAAAGTGCTGTCTACGGTCTGGCTCATGCCAACGAATTGCGTGGAATCCGACAAAAATTATATTCTGAAAAAATGCCACGCTTCGAACCTGTGCTCAAGCATCGTCCGTTAATTTTCCGTTCGGAAATTGTAAATGGTGTATGTCTACCATTCCCGGGTTCTGATCGCTCGGTTGTTATGCGTTCGCAACGTTTCATATATGAACAAGAGAAGAAGAGACCAGTTCAGATGCATGCATACGTTGCATTCGGATCATATGTTACAGCATGTTTAGTGGCCCTGGCGGCTGTGTCTTTTGGCCTATTGGCAAAATTCTCATTAGGGCGCCGTCTCCTATTGAAATATCCAAGACTGTTTTCTTTCGGGTTTGTGTCGCACGAAGGTCCATCTGAAGCTGCCATGGAACGAACTTATTTTGCAATGACAATGAAAGCATTAGGTTGGCCCAAAACCGATAACAACAATCCTCCAAGTGGCGCACCAACAAAATCGTTGATGGTTAGAGTGTCGGGTCCAAATCCAGGCTATGGTGCCACATGTGTTGCCTTACTGTCTACAGCCAAAACAATTTTGAAGGAAAACGATAAAATGCCTGGCACAGGTGGAGTTTTACCACCCGGCGCTGCTTTTGCCAAAACCAGTTTGATAAGTGAATTGGAGAAGCATGACCATGGCATGAAATTTGAAATATTGGCAAACAAGTGAATTACAAAAAAAATTATTTTTTGTAAAGAACATATTTTACATGTGATTTGAATGAGGCCCGATGAATAATTAACCCGTACACGTCCCCGGGCATTGAAATACAGAAGAAAAACTAATTATTTGGATTGTGAAGTGGTGATAATTCTAGAAAATAGTGTCTTATACATTTAAAAATAAAAAAACCGCATTATTCTTTTTATATATAAGAAAAACAAAGAAATGTGAACTAATATAATATATTTAAAAATATATAGGTACTAATGCCTAACATGGAATTATGAATGAAATTTTATGATTTTATGTTTTTGACTAATAAAGACTAAAAATAACAGAGCACAATATTTCGTACGTTATTGCAATTTCAAATGTTAAAGTCAGCCGGAAAGATAAATAAACAAATTAGAAAGTATCCGTACATTTCGTCATTCAATCCGATTCACAACACATATAAATAGTAAAACATGTGTCAAGTTTGAAATTTAGGTGAAAATAATTAAATATACAAGGTGTATTTAATAAGGTGTATGCATCAGATACAACAACAAATATTTTACAAAAACAACATTGTTGTTATAGAAATTAAATTGTCATGCTGACAATAAGTTTTTGACAAGAATAAACAAAAACAATTATTAATTTATTTTTGTCAAGAACTATTCTTTGAGAAATAATTAATGAATTTGTGTATTTTTGGGTTATTAGCGGTTTTAGGTCAGTAAAAAATAAAATTTAAGACCTGGTCGCGATTATTTTTAGGTTTCCCACATGCTGTCCATGGTTCCTTGTGATGTTGTTTATATTGTGAATTACAATCTATTTTTTCTATGGAGTGGCTTCAAATCTTGCCTTCTTAAAGAAAATTGCAGAACATAAATCCCCGGTCAAAGACTAAATCGTGGAAGTTGTGTTGACCGTATAAAATCTTTCTATAGGCGTATTTAACCTCCGCCTAGGATTGTGACAAGCACCAAGGGGCCGATTCCAATATAGGCTAACATAATCTCCTCGATTTTATGAGTAGCTGGGATTTATGGACAGATTTCCACACAACATAAAATATGTGAACCAATCGGCGAACGGGGTTATAACTGATTTAATACTAGATTTCCTTTCCGTCCGCCTCTATGAATGTAGTCTTCTTGAATTTTTATTATTAGGAAAGCCTAAATTTAAAGACCATTTTTGAAATCGAAATGTTATTTGAAAATGTTTTTGACAATTTACTTTACAAACAAAAAAGAAAAAAGTTTGAAACCATATGATTGTCAGTTACACCTTATTAAATACACCTTGTAAATATACAAATGACAACATAACATGTGGACAAAAATCAAGCTTGATTTTCGTTTTTATGTTTGCTTCCACTTAAGAAATGATAACCTCTGGTTGTATAAATTGCAATACAATGTTCTCAGACAATAGACTGATGTGATCGATCGATATACGCGAACGTCACAGTCTATAAGTGGATGAAAATCTCAAACGAAAAGACGGACAACAATTCCATTGAGGAAATAAAAAAACTGGCTTCGAAAATTATACTAAAAATAAAATATATTTTAAGAGATATTGCGAAAATTTCTCCATATCTGAACCTGACTTCTAAGAATCAATTATAATACAGTTATATTGAATAGTTTTGGATTAAGGGGACCCCTCTTCGTTTGCTAAAAATCGATTTTTTTCAAATTTGGATCAATAACTTCTCAAGAATGACTCTTTCTTTCAAGTGAAATTTTCAAAAAAAAATCTGGTCTCTTCGACTTGTTGTGTAAGCGACAGGTGGTAGCAAGAGGGTTTCTCAACACTTTAAAGTGTTTTTCTCGAAACAGTGCACGACAACTCATAAACTATTATCCAATCGGTTCCAAATTTTAATACGTTTTCTGGACCTAGTACATAGCTTTCATATGAACTAGGATAAATGCAGTCGGTCAAAATCTTCCTTGTTTTTCCAACATGATTTTAGGTCCAACCTTCAAAAAACAATTTTCCAAGCTCTGCTATTTTGCTAATTTTTGAGCGAAGTCAATAAACCTAGTTCAGCAACAATCATGCCCGGCCTTAGAGAAGGAATTTTCTTTAATTACAAAGACAACCACATTTTGTTAATTTATTTTCTTCTTTTTTTGAGTCTTCAAAGACATGTATGTTAGTTACTAGAGTTATCGTGCGCGCCAGTCGGCAAGACAGACAGAAATTTGTAAATTGACTCCAAATTATCTGAAATGGGTATGGTCCAAAGAAACATGACGCACATTTTCATCGTATCAAAGTGTATATACCCTTATTAGCCATAAGGCTAAGGGTATAAAAATGGACTAAAAACGAATCCGCCGTCGTATTATGCATGTTTTCACATTTGTTGACTATTTTATGGAGGAAGTACCAGAACACTTTACATCTAAATCAGAGTGGTCGTGCGTAGTATTGCCAAAGTCTGACACACATATTTTTCACATAAAGCAACATATAAATTGTGAAATTTATTTGTCCATAGCAAGTCGAAAAAATAAAGTGTTTAATGTTTAAATAAACATATTTAAACTTACCTTAATTTATTTACAACACTTGAGTCATATTTTTAATTCAACAATCACAAATTTAAATATTTTCACATTTATTACAATTGATGGCGGAAAAAACACTCAATAACTGGAGCTAGAAAAATAAAAAGAAGAAGAATGCGTTACATATTGCAGCGTTGCATTTTGAGAAGTAAAACACAATGGAAACGTCAGCAAATGTCGTTTTTATACCCTTCACCACACTGTGGTACAGGGTATTATGTCTTTGTGCATATGTTTGTAACAGGTAAAAGGAAACGAGATAGACACATGGTTCCTTTTGAGAATATGCATAGAATCACTTTCTAAGTCGATTTATGCATGTCCGTCCGTCCGTCCGTCTGTCCGTCTGTCCGTCTGTCTGTCCATGTTAAATTGTAAACAAAGTACAGGTAGCATTTATGATCCGAATTGGATGAAATTTGGCATAGGTCACTTATTTGGCCCAAGGACGAACCCTATTGAAATTGGGAAAAATCGGTTCAGATTTAGATATAGCTCCCATATATATATTTAACCGATTTAATGTAAACGGCCCCTAAATATCTTTCGATTTGCACGAAATTTGGTACAGCCTAATCATTTAGGTCTAGAATGATGTCTGCCAAGTTTCGTGAAAATCGGTCCAGATTTAGATATAGCTCCCATATATAGTTTCGTCCGATTTCATGTAAATGGTGCCCCAAAGTCCCTATATATCTTTTGATTTCCACGAAATTTGGTATAACGTACTGAATTAAGCCTAGAGTGATGTCTGCCAAGTTTCGTGAAAATCGGTCCAGATTTAGATATAGCTCCCATATATAGTTTCTTCCGATTACATGTAAATGGTGCCCCAAAGTCCCTATATATCTTTCGATTTGCACGAAATTTGGCATAACGTACTGAATTGAGCCTAGAATGATGTCTACTAAGTTTCGAGAAAATCGGTCCAGATTTAGGTATAGCTCCCATATATAGTTTTGTCCGATTTCATGTAAATGGTGCACAAAAGTCGCTATATATCTTTTGATTTCCACGAAATTTGGTATAACGTACTGAATTAAGCCTAGAGTGATGTCTGCCAAGTTTCGTGAAAATCGGTCCAGATTTAGATATAGCTCCCATATATAGTTTCTTCCGATTACATGTAAATGGTGCCCCAAAGTCCCTATATATCTTTCGATTTGCACGAAATTTGGCATAACGTACTGAATTGAGCCTAGAATGATGTCTACTAAGTTTCGAGAAAATCGGTCCAGATTTAGGTATAGCTCCCATATATAGTTTTGTCCGATTTCATGTAAATGGTGCACAAAAGTCGCTATATATCTTTCGATTTGCACGAAATTTGGCATAACGTACTGAATTAAGCCTAGAGTGATGTCTGCCAAGTTTCGAGAAAATCGGTCCAGATTTAGATATAGATCCCATATATAGTTTCGTCCGATTTAATATAAATGGGTCTCCAAAGTCCCTATATATCTTTCGATTTGCACGAAGTTTGGCATAAAGTACTGAATTAGGTCAAGAATGACGTGTACCAAGTTTCGAGGAAATCGGTTCAGATTTATATATAGCTCCCATATATATTTTCGTCCGATTTAAGGTAAATGGGTCTCCAAAGTCCCTATATATCTTTCGATTTGCACGAAATTTGGCATAACGTACTGAATTAAGCCTAGAGTGATGTCTGCCAAGTTTGGAGAAAATCGGTCCAGATATAGATATAGCTACTATATATAGTTTCGTCCGATTTCATGTAAATAGTGCCCCAAAGTCCCTATATATCTTTCGATTTGCACGAAATCTGGCATAACGTACTGTCTGCCAAGTTTCGTGAAAATAGGTCAAGATTTAGATATAGCTCCCATGTATAGTTTCGTCCGATTTCATGTAAATGGTGCACCAAAGTCCCTATATATCCTTCGATTTGCACAAAATTTGGCATAACATACTTAATTGAGCCTAGAATGATGTCTGCCTTGTTTCGTGGAAATCGGTCTAGATTTAGATATAGCTCCATTTTATTATAGATTGATTTTAAGTAATTGACGTACTAAGGAACCAATAGAAACAAAACGTTCTGAAATCAGTACAACCTAACCTGTGACAGGTTTGTTTGAAATCGCTTAATATTTGGATAGAGCTTCCATATATATTTTCGCCCGATTTCAAGTAAATTGGGTATCAAACTCCTCATGTTAGTCAGATTGACATCAAATTTTGAACAACGTATTGAGCATAGAATTACGTAGTTGCGTTTTCTAGAAGTACCGACATAGCCCAACGGATGACCTCTTTATACTTGTTTGAAGTCGATTGACATACTTTATGGATAGATCTAGGTAGATTCACAGTTAGGTAAATATCACATATTTTTTTTCATCCAATTTTATGTTAATAGTCCTGTTTAATATACTCATAGTGGTGAAGGGTATCATATAGTCGGCCCCGTCCGACTTTACTACTTTCCTTACTGGTTTTCTAATAAGAATAGTATTGTTACGAATATAACTTTAGATTTAGTCTAATTTAGATGAATTCCGTTAATTTAAGAATTTAAATTGTAACGTAAATTTCTACTACACAGTTTATTCGAATAACTTCACAACAACAACTACTGTATAGATTTTTCTACATCCTTCCATTTCCTCTTTCATTTTCTATTTTGCTATTGACGTACAATACTTTTTGTGAATGTCATCATTGATGATCGCTTAATTCCTCTTTCTTTGTTACTCCCTCGCCTGTATATGTGTTGTTGTTATTGTTCATTCAATGTAAGTTTGTATGTGTTTGTTGCATTGGTAGATTGTTCGTAATCTAGGTGTTACCAGATCGTCTAGAAACTTCTGTAGCGACAGGCAAGGCTCATATAAATAGGGGAAATGGCGAGGCAGTTAGTGAGTTGTGAATCAGATCGCGAATTGAAACCGTCAAGTGCAAAGTAAAGTTGCGTCAATAAAATCATTGTAATATTCGTAATCAGAAAGAACCCGCGTTTTATTTAGTACGAACTGTACTGGGAAATAAAACAACGTCTACACGGGATTAAGTAAAATCCAAGAACGTAACAGTATTGCAAAACTGTTAACTCATTTGGCGCCACAGTCCAATTGTAATTTTTTGTTGTATTATTATGATTCTTTGATATTATAAAAGAGCAAAAATTAGAAATTCTATGATATATTGAATTAATCAACAATAACTAGTCAGAAAGTATCGTTGTTCCCGACAGATATATACCCTCGGTCTATTACTATTTTGGTCAGTGAACCGACATTTCAAGAAGGCACATTTTTAATCGTAAAGAAGTCGGTAAAATTGTTTCCATTCCATTCGTCGTTATCGAAAATGTAAAGCTTTTATGTATTTTATGACAAACAAATCTTTACATAATTGCATATAAATATGCATGCTATGTACAGACATACATATATTCTGATCAATTAAAGTCTATATAGTATACTTATATTTATAGATTATAGAGCCAGGAAATTTCAAAATATTAAACAATATAAATAATTTAAGTATTTTTACAAATGAGCACATATTGTCCGTACATTTCGAAGGAGAATATTCTCATTTAAATTTTGAAAGCTGAATGTTGTCAAAAGTAAAAATATGAAAAAGTTGAAATCATATAGATGTGTGTGACTACCTTGTATAATTATGCCATGTTACCTCCCATAATTAAACCATGATTATGGGTATAATTGTACAAATTTACAAGTGTTTTTATATGATTGTAAACATTTAAAACAGTTGTGTTTAGTTATGATATACTTACGCTTAACTTCCAGTACGTATTTAATTGTACAATTCTTCTGTTCTGTGTTCTCTTCAATAATCTGATTAATTTTTTCCACATTTATTATTTTGAATTGGTTTCAACTTTGAATTTTTTTCTTGACGAAATTTTTAACAGTATTCCATTATTAAGTTAAGTAAAATTTTTGTATGAGAAATTGTCAAAGCATGATGATTGTCTTCTTAAAAAAAGTAAAATGACATATATATTTATTTGGTGTTTCATTTCTTGTTTTGTTTCTTGACAAATATTTGTAGTAGCTACTATAAAATAAATGCGATTTACTTTCACACAAAAATTAAAAAAGAATAATTTATTAAAAAAATGAAAATAATTATAGAAAATATTGTTTTCAACAATTTTCTTTCTTTATCTTGGGATAATGTTAAACAACTTTGTTGAATATATATAGCACTTTTTGTTTTATAATTTTCATTTGCTTATTTTTTTTTTGTTCTTGTTTCTTATATAAATATATTAGAATTATGGTATATTAAATATACATAAATATCTTTTGTTTTACTTGTAAATAAAGATTTATATTGAGTCATAGTGATTGTGTGTACGTGTGTGTATTGGAAATATATTAAGGATTGCTGCTTTTGTGCATGTGTATATATATATAAAACAAAAACAAAAATTACACTTTTTAAAATAAAGAAATTTAATATATATTTTTTATAAAATATAAAGGAAACTATTTAATTGTTATTCAGTTTGTATTCTTAAGCCAAAACGTATTGAGATATTGCTCACTCTGCACCATTATAAGATATAAAATTCCCTCTTTATATATATTAAGATTATTGAATTTTCAGCCAAGAATTAGAATAGACTACCGTTGAGAAACTTGAATGGTTTATTTATATAAAGGTATTTTTTATCTCGGTGTTTTTTTTTTCATTCTGTAAAACCTTTTTTTTAATAAAAAAATCTCCAATCAAAATTTGCAATAAAGAGGGAACTTTTTCAATTTGTTTCTGTTTTTAGAATTGTTTAACATTTCTACTAATATTGTAAATATATGATAAATGTTTTAGTTATTTTTTTATTTTGTAATAAGAAAGGCATATGGTTTCCAATTTGGGGGCTATTTGGTTATTTTTATATGTGTATTTGATTTTATTAAATTTAAATTATTTTATTTATTTTTACAACAAAACACCCAAGCGTTGTTTACTAACTTCCTACTAACTATTTAAAGAGGAGGGGAAAGTATTTGTTCGCTTTAACTTTGTTAAAATCTAGTAAATAGTTAATAAAAAAATTTGAAGAACGTTTTAAGAAGTACAATTGGAACTTGTGGGGATTTAAAACGAAGAAAAATAAAATAAAACAAAAACAATATTAAAAACTGGTTCCATAAAATAACATAAACAAATTAAATTATTTGATTTTATGCCTTGCATTTTCATCAATGTGAAATCTAAAACTTTGCGAGTAGGAGGGGTGATAAAAAAACCATAAAAAATAAAATAAAAAAGATTATAACAGTGTAAATATAATAATGAAAATGGCAAATATCAGAACATAATGGGTTGATCTTTACGTTGATCTATCACGTAACTGGTGAAACGTTTAAGGAACTTTGGATATTCACGCTTATAAATAGCGCGTAAAGCTGAGGCGGGCGCCCAACCACCGGGATTAACTGAAAGAAAAATAATTGGTAAGATAAAACGAAATTAGAATTGACATTAAACAATAAGTGGTAATGAAAATCAGACCTTGAATCAGAAGGTTTTCTTTACGCATACAGGTCATCTATTTATACTTTCTAGGATCTAAAGGCCTTCTGCATGTGTTTTACATATATATATATATATATATATATGTCTTTCTTCTATACACATACGAGCAGTCTGTTGTGTCTAATGCTTATTCACATCTTTCGCAGACAGTTATTTTATTTATATTGCATTTTCTAAGGATGAGAATTGGCCTTAGACAGTAACTGGGAATGCAAATTTAACGTAGAAGCAGAAGGGGTTCTTTCTACAGACAGACCTTGTGCATGCCTTTAACAGGCAGACAACATTTTATAAGTCTTCTATACACAGAAGACTTGTCTGTTATATCCAATGCTTATACAGATCTTCTGCAGACAGAATAACCGTATATATCTTCTATGAACAGAAAAACCTCAAGTTTATTTATGTATAGACCATTATTATTTGTACTAGAAATCTTTACGTCTCTTATAGACACACATATATCCAATGACAGAGAGTTCTTTATAGACATTTGAATGTCAGATGGCTAGTTAGAAAGACATTGAGTAGTTACACGAGCCTTCTAGTCATTTTAAGACATTTTCAAACTGCTTATACTTTGTATTATGAATTCATCGTATTATATTTACATATTACCGATTTTTGTTATTTAAACTTACCCACTGAACAATATGTAACTTTACACGTCAAATCGTCACGTGTCAATTTATCGGATTTAGTTTTTCCGGGAGGCAAATGTGTCTGACAGGCCATTATAACAGTTAAAAATATTCTAACACATTTGCCATTTTTAGACTAAAATGAAAAAGGAGAAAATTAAACAAACATCCTCATTGCACATTCAATTCCCACTTCTTACCTCTTGGTTAGAGTAATCTGTTGAATTATTGCAAACAATCCAGGTATCGACTGCACCCTCATCTAAGCCATCGGTTATTTTACGCATATGCGACCAGAACAGGGCATCTCGCTGACTAGCTGGCCAGACACGTTTGTGAGTCTGTAGGAATAAATATGTGTCGGGGGAGATTTTTTCTAATATTGTGCAGTCCTCCAATGTTGCTAAAACACACAAGAAATTAAATAAAAATATTTTCAACCAAATAGTGTATTTCCCGAAACTCACTTTCCCATTCATTGCGAAATTCGGGCATAAAGAAATAATGACACATTTCCCGTGCCGTAACACCCTTAACGGAATGATAAGCCTTGAGCGGATCCACCACCATACCATTGACTTCTTCTTCACGTTTATACATTTTGATTTCACCTTCGTCGGCGAATATTTGCCAACCATTGCCATCCTGTCCGACACCCTGACGGGCATAATGTAACTGTTCCAGGCACACTCTATCAATCTGTGTAAAATGTGGATGTCAAAAATTCAGTAAATAATTATTAATTTCCTTTTTAGTTAGATTTTTCATTACCTCTTCCCACAGAGCATGTGTCTTGGCCAAGGCACCAGTGCCAAACTCAGCATCGGCATCATCGTTTTCTCCATTTTCGATTGGTGTGGCAAGTGCTGTGTTGTGTGTTGAGATTTGTGATTGCTGTGATTGTAATTTCAATTTGACACGCATTTGCATATCCTCTTCGATTTTATCCAATCCCGTTTCAACAGCATCGAAAAATTCATCTTCCGGTAGTGTGGAATGTGGTCCTTCCTGTAAAGAACGGAAATAGTATTTTTTAATTAAATTTGTAAATTCGATTACATAAATTGAAATAAAATTGTTTAATGTGAATATAAAAATAATAGATGAAGTTCAGACATTATTTGCAGAGATTTCCATTGAGATAGATATTTAGAATATTTTCAAAATAATTTTTTGTACATTTTTTAGATGTCAAGGTTCCTTAGTTGTTCTGTATACAGAAGCCCGTAATCTTCTATAGACATACGACTTTCAGAGATCTTCTGTAAACAAAAGCTGTGCTACAAATATTCAACAGGACTTCAACAGCCAGAAGGCCCTCAACATGTATTGTGTAGCAAGAAGAGTCTCAACTGGTCTCCTACTTTAATTGTCAGATCCTCTATTGTATATCCTGAATACTTTATACATCTATTATACAATTATTAGAACCGATGGAAGACGAGGGACTTTTAAAGGTGTACTAGAGCAATATGAACTCTAAAAAGTTCTTCGATAAAAAGGAGGCCGTCTGAAGGTCCGATTTCTATTTTAGACAGATGGGGTTTCACAGATCTATTTTAAGGGAAAGAAAACCTTTCACAGTTAACCAAGAAGACCTTCTACAGGTTTACTATATCAATAACATTTTCTGCAAAACTTCTACAAGGTAGTAGGTTTTCAACAGGACTTCCACAGCCAAACGACCTTCAACAGGCCTTCTATCGCTCGAAGACTATTTACAAGTCTTCAATAGCAAGAAGACCCTTAAGACAACTCCTACAGATATGACCTGTTGAAGGTCTACTGTCTATAAAACTCCTAAGACATGAGACCTTCCACATATTCTTCATCTTCTGTACACCTTGGAAAATTTACATGTCTGATATGGTAAGAATCTCCTTGAGAAGTCGACAGATTTTTTCTACAGGTCTTTTAGTGTCTGATTTTCTATGGGGGAAGAGCTTTTATCGGCCTTCTATTGGTGGCAGACCTTCCATAGACCTTCAAAGGTCATCTAGAGCGAGAAGACATTTTAACATGTATTTTATAGATCGTGGCCATAAAACTTGGAAATGTATTATTAATGCAGATGATCTTCTAAAGGTCACATATAGGCGGATGAACATATACACATCTAATATATAAAAGAGCTTAGTGTTAAGTGAGTGAGTGAGTGAGTGACTGACAGATCATCGCCCAGACGAAACGGCTAAAGCTAGAAGCTTGAAATTTTGAGTGTGGGTTGGTGTTGGTGTGTAGGCGTGAGATAAGGCTGGGTTTTTGGAAATTCGAACTAGAAGGGTACGAAAAGTACTAAAATGTACCAAATATGGTACCCTTTGTATTAGGCGAACGGGAAGAGCTAGAATTCTGAAATTTGGAATGTGGGTCACTGATGTAAAGTTAGGAAGATGTACAAAAGCGTTTTTGGAAATTCCTACTAGAACGGTACGAAAAGTACTAAAAAGTACTAAATGTGATACCATTTGTATTTGGCGAACCGGTAGAGCTAGAACTCTGAAATTTGGATTGGTGGTCGCTGAGTGTAGGATAGATGTACCAACGGGTTTTTGGAAATTCGAAATAGAAGGGTACGAAAAGTACTAAAATGTACTTAATTTGTACAATTTCGTAGCATGTGAATTGATAGAGCTAAAAACTTGAAATTTGGAATGCGACTTAGGGATGAGATGTAGAGTCTATTTAAGGAGATGGTTTTAAAAGCGTGTACTCATGTGTACGAAAAGTACTATATGATACTATATTTGGTACAAATTTAATTTGGAGATACAAATCGAGCTGGAATCCTGAAATTTGAAATTAACATTAGGAGTTGGACATCTGAGTGTAGGATTGGGAATGTACGTAGTTTTGGAATTTTTTTATCCAGTTTTAGTAATTTATATTCATGGGTACTAAATGGTACTAAATTTGGTACAATTTGAATTTTATGCGAACCAATAGAGCTAGAATCATGAAATTTGGAGTCAGGATAACTGTTGGGGTGTAAGATCGAGATATGTAGGAAGTTTTAAAAATTTTTACTAATGTGTACTAAATTTGGTACAATTTGAATTGTGGGTGAACCGATAGAGTTGGAATCATAAATCTTGGATTTACGATCAGTCTGGGGGTGAAAGTTTTGGTTAAGTGGGACGTTTTGGAAATTCGTACTACTGTGTACTAAATTTGGTACAATTTGAATTGTGAGTGAACCGAAAGAGTTGTAATCCTGAAATTTGGATTTAGCATCTCTGTTTAGGGTAAGTAAGAAGTTTTCGAAATTCGTACTACTGTGTACTAAATATCGTACAATTTGAACTGTAGGTGAACCGATAGAGTTGAAATCCAGAAACTTGGATTTAGGATCACTGTGAGGGTGTAGGATTGGGGTCTGTAGGAAGTTTTGGAAATTCGATAGAGTTGGAATCTTGAAACTTTGATTTAGGATCACTGTGGGGGTTTAGAATTGGGGTATGTAGGAAGTTTTGGAAATTCGTACTACAGTGTACTAAATTTGGTACAAATTGAATTGTGGATGAACCGATAGAGTTGGAATCCTGAAACTTGGATTTAGGATCAATGTGGGGGTGTAGGATTGGGGGAAACTCGTATTTATGTGTACGAAAAGTAATAAACGGCACTAGATGGATTTGGGTGAACGGAGAGAGCTGGAAACCCATAATTTGGACTAATGGTTGATGTTTGAATATAGAATTGAGATATGGAAGCATAGTACCATTGTGTACTAAATAGTACTATATTTCGTACAACTTGATTATGTGTGAACGGATAGAGCTGGACTCCCGAATTTTTTAATTAAAATTACTGTTGGAGTGTAAGATTGACATAGTTTAGGAAATTGTTAATTATAGAAACAAAAAGTACTAAATGGGTCCGGAAATCTTACAAATGTGTGAACGGATAGGGCTGTATTCTAAAATTTTGAATTAATATTACAGTTTGAGTGCAGAATTGGGATATGTCGGTAATTTTTTAAAATTCGTCATTATGTGTACTAAATGGTAAAAAAATTGGTACAATTTTGATTCGAGTTAACGGATAGAGATAGTAAACGTAAATTTGTAATTAAAATTGCAAGATTAAGGAAGTATTGGAATTTCGTACCTATGGATACGAGAAGACCTAATTGGTACTAAATATGGTACAATTCGTTTTGTGTGAGCGGGAATCCTAATATTTGGACTTAAAAATAATTTGGAACAATTTGGACTTTGGTGGAAGTAAGATTAGGATTGATGGATTGATGTAGTTTTAGAAATTCTTACCTATGAGTATGAGAATTACTAAATGGTACTAAATTTGAAACAATTTGGATTTGGTTGAATCTTGAGATTTGGAACTTAGATTACTGTTGAAGTGTAGTATTGAGCTATGGAGACAACTTTGGAAACTCGAATTTATGTGTACCAATAGTATAGAATAGAAAATTCACTAAACTTGGATAACGGAGAGAGCTGGAAACCTAAAATTTGGAATGTTGGTCATTGACAGAGAGTTAGAAAGAAGGACCAAAGGGTTTTTGGTACCAAATTTAGTGGAGGTGACGGTGTTCGAAAAGCTCTAAATGGAATTACATGTGGAACCTGTACGTTTTTGCTAAAGTGTGGATTTCGGAAAATAGTGCTTATGTGTATGAAGAGTAATTAATGGTAATAAACTTGATATTAAATGTAGGAATAGAGGTGGAATTCAGAACTATAGTACAACTAATTATACGGTATTCACCATTTCCATATGAAATATTTTTTATTCCCTTTCCGCATACGAAGTAGCGGGTACTTTGCTAGTATGCTATAAAGAGAATACCTTCTATATGCATTTTATATATAAAAGGCATTCCAAATGTTTTCAATAGGATAGGTTTCTATGAATACGTCCTCCTCTCTAGATTACATTACATTGGTATTTATTTAAGACTTCTCTAAATATATGTCCTACTATATATCATAAATACATGCAAATCCTTCCACACTCTTTCATTTCCATTTCATAAAAATCCATGAAAGATATTTTTAAATTTTGTTTTTTTTTTTATAATTTTTTTTTATAAAAATTAACGAAGAACAGCCAAAAAATTCAAATAGAATAATTAATAGCACGTCTATTGTTGAGAATAATTTTTTTGTCCAGCGCGTAACGTGACTAAAATAATTGTTTTAAAAAATAAAAGATTTTATTAACGGACGCAAAGATGGGCGAAAAATGTTAAGCGTGAGTCAAATAAACTCAGAATAAAAAAGCTGAACATCTTCACGCATTCGCCCAGGAAAAAAGAGACGAATATTTTAATGCAAATTAATAAATTTGCGTCATTCGTTGTCGTACGACCGATCAACAGTTTTTTTTACTTTATTGCCAAAATCGTATGGCTGAGGTATTCAAAATAAATTCTATAAACGGGATTTGAATGAATAAAACAATTGTCCATATGAATTGATTATTTTCTATTTTGCGTAATTTCAAGAAGGCGTTTTAGAGAGATTGTGTATTTATCAGAAATACACACACACACACTTACATATTATGTGTTTGGAATTAATAGTAACAGGTGTAACAGAATTTCTTAACGAAATAGCCAAAAAATAATTCTTTATTTACCGCTGTAATTGATTTCCAAAAATTTTAATAATGAGCCCTGAAAAAATGTTTGTTGTTACATTTATGGCATAACTGGAAATACCAAACGGGGTAAAACGGTGTGTTCGGTTCGTTCCCAAAAATTTTGTTTAAGCCAACATTTAAGGTCGCCTGTAATATTATTGGCCATCAACTAATTAAAAATGCAAGGCAAGTGTTATCATTTTTAATTATTTACTGGACAATTATGGGGTGGTAGGGGGAGTGTTATTTATTTATTTTATTTTTTTTACATTAAAAGAGTTGACACTTTAAATCTACAGGTGACATATGTCAAATAATCACAACTTTAAATTTTAATTTGATCTTGACATTTTGTTAAATATTGTCTTAGGTTTTATGGACTCTTAAATATCTTAAATGGATAAATTCTATAGGTCGTCTTTAGATTGAATACCTACTACAGGTATCGTATGTAAATTATAACATACTTCACGAGTAAGATGGTAATCTGTTGTTTATATTAGTCCTCAATGACCCCCTTAAATTTTTTCAAAAAATCTTAAATGGTTATAGGGATCGGAAAAACAAACAGATCTAGCCTATAACTCGACCTTTCTCTCGTAATGTATGATATAACATGTTTTCTTATACTTTCACAATGGAGTAGCTAACATAATATAAGACATTGGCAGATTTTTACAAAAGTCGATCGATATTTTTCAGAAAAAAAATCTTCAAAATCCATGATTATTACTCGAATGTGTTCTCTGAAAAAATAATAAAATATTCATACATATAGTATTGATGCTTCTCTTAAAATTATTCGGAAAAAATTCCCGTTTATTTCTCTGATGGTACTTTAAAATTCCATGCTTATAGATTTTAGCCCCATTAAGAAATAAACCTTAAAAAATTCTTTCTCATAGTATCGATGACCAGAATATCTTTGAAACACCATCTAAAAACAGAAGAGCGTTAGAAGGTCTTCTGTACCGTCAGAAGACCATTCAAAGTTATTTAATATACCGAGTTACGACGACGATGGATAGTTTACATATGTTGGGTTCCAGGACATAATAACATAGAAGGGAACGAGAAAGCCGATGCATGCTCGAGGGGGCTCACAATCGTCCAATCTTCCGATTGAGATATCAGTGCAACCACCCATTGGCTATATCATTGGACTTTTAGCACTAATGTACTTTAAAATATTCGTATAAAAATCCAGTCTTTGATAGTCCTTTGAAAAAGTATTCAGTGAAAAAATGCAGAAATTCTCGCTCACAACCATTTTTAAAAATCCATGATTATAGCTCTAAAGGGCGATTAAAAATTCTGTTTTAAAAGATCCTCGCTCATAGCTCCAATGGATTATAACAAATTAATTATAAAGCTCTGATGATATTTTCCTAATATCCTTTTTCCTACAAACCCTTCGCTTTTAGCTATGATGGTCCTCTGAAAAATTAATCGTAATAAAAACAGGCTCATAATTAAAAAAAAAGCATTAATGCTCTAATGGTCCATTGAAAAATTATTCTAAGAAAAATTCTTTCTTCCAAAGTCTATAAAAAAATATTTTTAGCTTCGATGGTTTTTTGAATGATTATTTCGAAAAAAACGCTCACAGCTCTATTGGCTGGCCACTTGAAAATGCTAGTCATAAGACCCTGATGGTCCTTTAAAAAATATTCTTAAAAAATGAAAAAAGATCTATGATTTTAGTAATAAAGGCCCTTAAAATTTAATCTAAAAATCAACGCTTTTGGTTCTTACCATATTATCGGTTGAAATATAGAATTTAGGAATTTTATTTAATTCGAACCCACACTAGTTCAAGAACTCTTGAAGATATAGGCGATTTTTTGTGTCAGCGTAAAGTATATATTTCAAACTTTAAACTCGAAACTAATAATCTAATCGGTATCAAATTTTAAAACGTTATTCTATCGTATGAACTAGGATAAATGTAATCGGTCAAGATCTTCCTTATTTTCTAACATAGTTTGTGGTCGAAAATATGGGATTTAAAAAAAAAATAATTCATATGTCCGGTTGAAAATCATAAAAATTTGAAATCGAGAAAATAACAAACTTAAACAACTTCTTTCTTCATTCGTTCTTAAAATTGCAATATCATTTGTGAAAAAAAAAAATACTTACAACCAAAACATCTTTGCTTTTATTATTAATTTTAAGTCCTTTGATCATATGACTGATGGATGGCATGATTAACGAGAAACTTCTTTTCTTATACCTCAATTACACAAATATGCTTTACAATATACAATTTTTGGCAATACAATAATATTTTGAAAACAAGTTACATTCACACATTCACAAAAGAGAAAAAAATTGTATTATGAAATATTGAAGTTTACATCAAACACTTAAAAGCAAAAGGTGGGTAATGCACCACCAGAAATTAAACACTTGCAAACAACAGAAATTAAATTGGAAAAAAGTAATTGTTTAAAAATATTCACAACAACAACAACGTAAGTAATGAAACAAATATAGTGCACAAACAAAAATTACACTGAACTAAACGAAGATATCAATTTTATTCGCTTTACTATACGTTGTTTTGTGTTGTATTTTTGTAGTAGACAAATTTTCGTTGGGTATGAGCGTGGCTTGTTGTTGATGGCTTTAATGTTTGTGGCTAACTGAATTGCCAAATGGCCAACAGGTATTCTGTTTTCCCTAGCCATAAGCAAGCAAAAAAATCAATTTAGCATGCTCGGGCTTCTCCCCAAAAGAAGAGGGAAGTATATTTCAACTACACTGTAATATGACTCGGAAAGGGAGTTTAATTCGTTTGAAACATATTTATGTTAGCAATGCGCCAAAGGGGTTGGATAGGTTAGTTCATTGCTCTGTAATCTGTTGCACACATGAGAGGAAAACATTGCTATGGATTCATCAAATAAATGGCGACTAGGTTAAATTTTTGTAAAATAATAGACAAATGCAATAGAGGAAGGTGAACACTGTCAATGGGACCTTTAGATCCTAATATTCTAACAATATCTATACTAATTTTGTATAAAATACATTTTATTGAAATTTATATTCTTATATTAAAAAATAAAATATGCTGAAGAGAACAGAAATCTAGCTTATACTAAATTAGGTAACATTTATTTATTACTTTTTGTACTCGAGTTGTACTTATTCCAAATTTCATGATTCCAGCTGAATAGGTTTACCGAAATCCAAATTTTACCAAATTAATTATAAATTGTCAAAACTTCCCTATCCTGCACTCCAACAGTAATATAAATTCCAAATTTCATGATTGGAGCTCTATAGGTTCAACCAAATCCAAATTTTACCAAATTTAGTACCATTTTATACATACTCATAGAAATTTCCATATTTATCTACATAGTAATCCAACAGAAATTAAATTTCCCAATTTCAGGATTATAGCTTGATCCCTTCACCCAAATCCCAGTTGTACAAAATTTAGTACCATTTTGTAGTTCTAAATACCCCAACTGTTGAAGTGTAGAGCAGTAATCTAAAATCCAAATTCTCCAGCTCTATCGTTTCAACCTAATCTAAATTGTATAAAATTTAGTTCGCATTAATACAAATTTCTATAACTACCTAAATCATACAATCCAATAGAAATATTCGTTTCTAATTTCAGGATCCCACTCCAATCAGTTCACTCAAATCAAAATTTCAACTAATTTAGTACAATTTAGTTCACATTAGTGCAAATTTCCAAAACTTTCTACATACGCCAATCCTACACACCAACAGTGATTCTCACTCCATGTTACAGGATTCTAGCCCTATCGGTTCACTCAACATTATTTTTTTTCATACCAAATTGAGTGACATTTAGTTCACTTTTCCATAACTACCTACACCACGTATTTTCCAAGTATTCCACCTCTATCAGTTTACCCAAATCCAAATATACTACCATTTAGTACTTTTCGTACACGACAGTAAGTTAATTTCAAATTTACGCTCCATCCGTTCTTCCAAATTTAAATTGTGCCAAAATAATTACTGTTTAGTAATTTTCGTATAGATGGCCAAACCTACTTCTCCGACAGTAAGTTAATTTCAAATTTACGCTCCATCCGTTCTTCCTAATTTAAATTGTGCCAAATTAAGTACTGTTTAGTAATTTTCGTATAGATGGCCAAACCTACTTCTCAACCTTGATTCGAATTCCAAATTTCAAGTTTTTAGCTCTCACTGTTCTCATGCTACGAATTTGTACCAAATTTAGTACATTTTAGTACTTTTCGGATACTTATAGTTCTCTTCGTGTCGTTCTAGAATGAATTTTCAAAAAAAAAAAAAAAACAGTCTTATTTGACCCCTTTGGACTAAAAGTAACCATCACCCCAAAAAAGGTTTAGCTCCAGCCGCTCCGCCTGGGCGTCCATGAATCCTTAAGTCAGTCAATCACTGTACTCTATTATTAGTATAGAAAAAACCTTCTGGCAGTCATTTTACGATGACTAGATCCCATATAAGGTCCGATTTTATAGAGAAAACACCCTCTTATGGAAAGATATTTCAAATAATATTTAAATATAATAATAAACAAAACCCCTAAACCAGTAACAAATTAATAATTCTTCACTTAGTATGGTCTAATCAACTATGGAAAGCAAGCCATCAGCTCCCCCTCAGTAATTCACGAAAAATTAAAAATCTCTTAAATTTGTTTTTGGATTGCACTTTACGATGTCTGCATTACGATTGTATGTTTCCTTGTAAACCGCTAAAAAAGAGCGGTTAAAATTTGAACTTGACCGACAATCGACTAATTCGGCAAACAGGTTTTTTATGTTGTGTGGCCACCACCAACCAATTCAGTCTGTGGAAAAAAATTTGGTGTGGCGGAAACCAAAACGAACTCGGTAGCGCACAATTACAATTTAAACGTTGTAAAAAAGCAACCATACAAAACATACTAGCTAGGCTAGCTGCTAAATAATTCGATTGACGTGCGTACCAAAAGTTTATTGGCATTGACTTTAGCTATGCAAAAAATGAAGAGACATGACATTACAATGCCTTTAATATCGAACAATTATGCTCTTTGTTGTTTGAGGTTGAGTTTTATTTTGGATTTTTGATAAAAGTGTAAATTTTCTGTATGAGCAAAAGCAATTCAAAAAGCTAATTTTTTTACATAAAAAATTACTTAGTTAAAATCGGGTAGTTTGTTCGCCTTATGTTCCAAAAAAATTGTTGGCCAAATTTTAACCATTTTATGAGGGATGCACAAGAAGGAGTGGACCGACTTGTCCCATTTTCGGCCATAATCTACGATGTTTATATAAGATGTACACGTTTTAAAAAATTTGACCCTTTGATGTACACGTTTTAAAAAATGTGACCCTTTGTGGGGGTGGTACCAGAAGAACTGGACCGACGGACACCGAGGCTTATCTAGGTAAGGTAAACATATAACGATGTGCAAAATTTTTATGAAATTGAAAATTGCGTTCGCTTCAAGTATTCACAAGATTGATCCCTTTATGATGGAAGAACTAGAATGAGTGGGAAGATATGTTCCATATTTCAACATTATACAGTCATGGTTATAATATGGGGTTTTGCATAGTCCATTCACGTGGTATAATAAAAAATCACCAAAATTTAGGTAATTTTGAAGGGATGGTAGGGAAATAAATTGCTAACAACAATTTAATAAATATTGTTATTTCATTATTAGAATTTGTAAAATATTTCGTAATTATTTTTTCATAAATATTTTGTAAAATAATAATTAAATAAATACATTATTAAGTTTTTGTGAATGCATGCACATTTTATCATCAGCTATGAATCTTGTAATATTTACAAAAACAATACCCCATACTACAATAGTTCAATCATGCAATAAAGTTGTTGTTCACCTTATATATTATTTATAAATAATAGTAATATTGTTGTGTATTTATAATCTAGACTTCATTTAGATATTCTCTAAAATTTATAATTGGATTACGTCTGTTAAACTTATTATTTGTCTACAATAAGTAAGATTGCTAGTAATGGTCATTCACTTATGGCTCGTTGACCTCTTTTTTTCGATGCATACATAATATATTTGCATACCAGTAAGACTTGTTGCCAATGGTTGATTGCAATATCTCCATTTCGACTTGGGGGGATAACAAAAATTACATATATACAGTCGATGAGGGTGGGTAGGTTGATAATTTTTTAATGATATTAAAATAGATAGTGAAGAAGAGTTTGATGCACTTACATATATTACTTTAATTTTTTCTTTATGTTAACTTCTACACAAAGGAAACAAATATGAATGAATATTTTCAATATTTTTTGTTATAAAATATTAGATATGAAACATGGTCTTATTTTTTTAATTTAATTTGGTAATTTACGCTTTATGTTTTATCGTGGTGGCAACGTATAAATGTTTGGCCTGTATCTTCTTTTCTGTAACTTTTAACTACTGAGGGTGGTAATTGTTTTTCAATAAAGTAAACTAATTAATTTATAATATTTAAATATACAATTCCACACACTTGAATTCACTATGCTATATCCTAATCTGCTAAATGTTTAATTAATTAATATGGTTGTGGTAATGTAAGTCGACTATACCATTATCACAGCGGTTTAATTGATTTATTTTATAAATTTTCCAATATGTTTGGTTAATTCACAATAAGATGCGAGCTGTTTAATATTTGATCCTAAAAGTAGGCTATACAATTATATATGCCAATTAATATTATGTGTATTTTTCTTTTTTCAATTTATTTCGACATATTTCATATGAAAAGTAATAATAGATTTGCGTCAGGTGATAGCTTCTATCATATTTCAAAATTAAAAAAGAGTTTAAAATAAAATTAAAAAAGTTGAAAATTATTAATTTTGAACTTGTACAATTTGATGAAAATTGTTAAAATTTTGTTTTTTTGTATTTAATTTAGAAAAAGGTTTAAAAATTCCAACAATCTCGAATTAGTGTTAGGTACTGTGTAGGATTGAAGAGATGTAAGTAATTCACACTGTTATTACATTTAGAACAATTGTCATGTTCGGCCGAAACTAACTTTTAATTTCATCCTGGCGGTTTAGTTTGAGAGGCACTCTTCCGGTCGCGTGAAAGTAGGCTATACAATTATATATGTCAATTAAAATTACATATGTGTATTTTTCTTTTTCAATTTAATTCGATCTTCCGATTTATTTCGACATATTTCATATGAAAAATAATAATAGATTTGCGTCAGGTGATAGCCTCTATCATATTTCAAAATTAAAAAAAAGAGTTTAAAATTAAATTAAAAAAGTTGAAAATTAATAATTTTGAACTTGTACAATTTGATGAAAAGTGTTAAATTTTTTTTTTTTTGTATTTAATTTAGAAAAAGGTTTAAAAATTCCAACAATCTCGAATTAGTGATAGCTTCTATCATATTTCAAAATTAAAAAAAGAGTTTAAAATTAAATTAAAAAAGTTGAAAATTATTAATTTTGAACTTGTACAATTTGATGAAAATTGTTAAAATTTTGTTTTTTTTTTTGTATTTAATTTAGAAAAAGGTTTAAAAATTCCAATAATCTCGAATTAGTGTTAGATATTGTGTAGGATTGACGAGATGTAAGTAATTCACACTGTTACTACATTTAGTACAATTGTCATGTTCTATATTTTCTTTTTTTACAAGAACCAAAAATAATTCTGATGGCAGAACTCGTAAAATTTGAATACGAAGCTATTTAAATAATTTTGACTGTATACACTAATTGGTATTGCACACAAATTTACCCTCTTTTCTATATTAAAAGCTCATAGATTTACCAAAATTTTGAATTTTTTTGATTTTTCTTTTGATATGTTTCGTCCATAATCAGGTCTTAACATATAAAATCGAAATAATATATATCTATTAGCTGTATATTAAATATAAGCTCTAAAACATATTGTTACTCGTGGGCAACATTGGGCCACAAAGGGTTAAAAAATCTTGTTTTTAGACCAAGAAAGGGGGACACTCCCATTAAGCTTTTTTCAAATATGAAAAAAGCCATACGAGCATATTGAAAATATTGCAAAGATATGTAACATAGCTGAAGTCAGAGGTTCAAACCTTCCAAAATGTTGGCTCAGAATTTAATTTTTAAAAATTTAATCATATTATCTATTCGCTTAGATATTTATTTTATTCCTAGTTTTATCCCATATTTGATGAATTTTGCGAAGAAATCAGTTAGTGGAATATTTGGGAGGGGTATTCATTTTTGGTTCTCACTCGAATTTTTATACTAGCTCACAAATTTGAGATTAGAAATTTAATTTTATTTTTAACTTACCTCTAAATCTGGGCCAGGATATGATATTCGCTTAAGTTTTTCAATTTCTTCCTTTAATTTACGATTTTGTTCTTCGATTTTTTTACGTTTCTCTGCCTCTCGGTCCAGTTTTTTCTTCCATGTCTCATCATTTTCAACGATAATTTCCAGACAATGTTGCAGTGTTGTCAATACACCGGCTGTTGTGGCGCGAAATGTTATAGATTCACCCTAAACAGTGAGAAGAATGGAAAAAGTGGTTTAATGGTAAAATAATTAAATGTTGGTTACGTTGTAAGTACCTTAAAATCAATAGGTTTTAAGCCATCACCCAAATCTAAGGGCTTATCCATGCCCTTGTTGATGTCGGCACAGGCATCAAAGTATCTGTAAGGTAAAGGTTAACATAAAAATGGGAGAAAAACATAATGAATGATGGCAAACTAGATGAACAACTTTCAATAAAGGACCTAATTCCTCTTGAAGGTGTTTTCAGTTACAGTTGTGCTTTTATTTTTTTTTAGCGATTTTGTGTTAAACATTTTAAATTGCTTACCTTTGGAGTGTCTCTATTTGCCCAAACAGAATATCCTTAAATGTCTCAATTTCGCCAACCTTCTCCTTCAGATTACGTTGTGTCTTCTTCAAACTGCTGCCACTTGCCACGGATACTGTATTCGACTGCAAGGACATTGTGCTGCCATGACGTCGCAAAGATGTTGTATCTGTGCTGGTACTATCCTCTTTGTACATACGCAACACTTCCACCCAATGCATACGGTCCTCCGGTGTGTCGGCACGTAAACACCAATTATTATAATTATTAACCACAACATCGAATCGAAGTTCATCGGACTCATGAGGCTAAAATGTAAAAGATGAAATTTGCTAATATAATTAAAGGATGTAATTTAATTACGGTTATATCATAAAACAAATATTTACTTTGAGAGAGGAGTTATGTTATTGTTGCACAAAAATGGATATGGACAACATCAAATAAAAACAAATATTTAAGTGGAAATAATTTGAAAAAAAAAAATGTTGTGCTATAACTAAGATTTCTCTATTGTTTCATAAAATGTTTTTGAAAAAAGATCAATGTTGGAGGGTAGGTGTGAAAAAATGTTGTATTTTTATTTGTACAATAGAAGGACGATAAGTACTAAAATCGAAAAAAATAATTGTAAGATTAATCGTAATAAAGGCTGAGGCTACTTCCGATATATATTCAATATATACATTGAATCATAAACGAAATCGGGCCGGCCTTCTCGTACAAGTTTTATTTTTGTTAAAGCTTTGAATAGTTGTAGCACCATTATCTTCCACTGATTGTAAATTCTACCGTTCTGGAATCAAATTCAATTAACTGCTATCAGTATTGTTTACAATTGTAAATTTATTTGAACAAAATAGAACAGAACAAAATAAGCTATTGGACTGTTGTATGAAAATGTCGATATCAAGTCGTTTCAAGTACCCTTCACCTTATGAGATTATAGATAAAACATGTATAAAATAATAATTTTGAAATATTTTCGTACTATAGATATTTTGCGATTAATGAGCGACGTTAAAAAGCTATGTACATATTTTTTTTGTAAATTGTTTATAAATTCGGAAATAATATGCCATTTCGATTTTATTATTACAGGGAGTATTAGTACAGTTTATAATTTAATTCAAATGACAATGGAAATAAATAAAGATGAATATTTCTTTATTTATTTTTCGAAATTTTAAATATTATTAGAATTTTATCCTGATTTAAGATTCAGTTCGTACCCTTAACTTCACAATGCAATTGAAATTGTAGCAGTTAAAAGGCGGTAAAATAAATCGTTGTACATATTCCGCCGCTTGTCCATGTGATTCAACTGGAAATAAATATAATTGATTAAATTGGGGAGTACCCTGGGGTCTATCAAAACAGATAACACTAGCCAAAAAGTGGAACATGACTAAAGTTTATATCGTATTGGGAACATGTTACAAGTTAGAATACATTCATGCCTACTTTTGCCAAAGTGAAATTGTTTTTGTGTTGCTAAGAGCATACTTCACTCCCGCACATACCCACCAACAAATTTTAATAACAGTACAAATTATAAAATATAATTAAAAGAGCAATAAAAATAAAAAATTGTGTTCTTAATTGGTCAGTATTGTTTATAATAAGAAACAAGTAACAAAAGTGTCTGTCGGTGTTGTCGACAGAGATATACCCTCAACTCAACTCAGCCTATGTATGTCAAGAATGAGTTTACACATGGATAATGGATATTAAACATTTTAAAATGTAGAAACTCAAAAAACACTAATCATATTATTATTTTTTTATATTCATTTGTTTCGTTTATTTTACATATAATTCAAGGCGATCGAGCCTAGTAATAAACAGAATTACAATATACATTAACTTTACCTTAAATATAAAACTACTCCACGTTTGTGCCAACCAGGTTATCTAATGATGTAAATTTTTTTGATATATTCCATTTTTTGAAATGTGGAAAATGTTTTCAGTTATAGCAAGGACAATATACAATGTATTAAATCGAGCAGAAAACGATAGAAGATTGGAGTTAAAGCGAGTAGGTGATCCAAAATTAATAAGCGTAAAAAGCGCAAAATTTATAGAAAAATTATGCAAAACCCTAAAATTTTCACAAGGACGCTTGCGAGGGTTTTCGACATTTAGAAATGCGTCACCTTTTCTTTCAATCGAATATAGCAAATATTTTGTTATTGTTTCTCCAGGTACCCCAGCTCCGTGGACAATTGGACGAAGAGTTCTTTTCAATCTCTGGGCCAATAGTACCCATTCAAATTCACATACATTTTTTACCTTTTCCTATTGCGTCCATATAATCTTTACACTTCAATTGAAAAACAGAACACTTGTATGCATGTACTTTGTTAATTGAGTTCCATTCAATTAACAATGACGTCATAGTTCTGTTTCATGGCTGTGGGGATTTCTTTTATTGTTTTTTTTTTTTTTTATTTACTTCTTCTAATTAATGGGAGTTTACATTGTTATCACAGAAAATAATAAACCTATTTTTTTTTTTTTTGTACATGTGATTCAGCTAGAAAATATAAATGCAATGATATTAGGTGGGATTATGAAAAAATGGGAATATTTTGTAAAAAAAACGGTTGAACATCATAAAAATAACTAAAATCGCCATACATTTCATATACTTTACGATTGAAGTTGATTAAAATATTTCAATATTTCAAAAAAAATTCTATATTTCAATATCGAAATTGGTCGATTATTATTAATTGGTCGATTTTGTCGACTATTATCTAGCCTGTACGAAGAAATTTCAAAATGTCGCTGACCATGGTATTGGGGCTATATAGAAACATGCACTTATATTGACTATTTTCTGTTATGTAGCTGTTTACCCTCTGAGGTTGTGAAATGTTAAATTACTGTCAGGTCGTAACTCTCAAAAACCGAAAATGGGCGCTGTACTAAAATGTGGACAAACTTTTTATAATTTTAGGTAGAAATATTTGACACCCAATGACAACCAAAAATATATATTTACAACATTAACATTAATGTTATTTAAAATCGTTTTTGAAATTCTCAAAATACCAAAAGTTTGTGACACCATCTGAGAACCCAATATTAGAGGCCATTCAGTTAAAAATCGTTCCCAAAATTCCGAAGATATCGAATAAGGGAATATATCCAAACTACATCACCTCCAATCCATTCCAAAATATAAATTTACAGCCATTTTGATGAAAACCAAGTTCAACAAAATAATGAAATTTGGAAGTTACAGTAATATGGAGGCTACCCTAAACAGTGGACCAATATTGATCAAATTTAATATGAAAATTTGATACTCGATGATAACCCAAAATACCAAAATACCAAGCAATTCGGTCGGAAAGCGTGCCCGAAAATATCTAAATTTGGTACACCGATTGCTGTTACTGGCCGTTTTTAAGTGGAAACTATTAAAAAAAAAATATTGTGCTATTAGATTAGAATATTTTATAGTTTCATAACAAAACTCTGATAAATGGAATGAGGGCCACAGATGGAGTGTGGGTTCACTAAACCTTTTTTGGAATTCCTAATGAAGGGAGAGACTATTTCCGAAATTCATTATAAATATATACAATCATAAACGAAATCGAGCCGGCCTTTTCGTACACATTTTATTATGGTAAAGCTTCGAATACAACTATTATCTTCCACCGTTCTGGAATCAAATACAATTAACTGCTATTGTTTTTTTAATTGTAAATTTATTTGAACAAAATAGAACAGAACAAAATAAGCTATTGGGCTGTTGTATGAAAATGTCGATATAATCTCACATCACCTTGTGAGATTATAGATAAAACAGGTATAATAATAATTTTTAAATATTTTTATTACATATATCAGTACTATTGACATTTTGCGGTTAATGAGCGACGTTAAAAATCTATGTACAGTTGTTGGTAAATTTGGTTAAGAAAAAATAATAATATAGTGCAAAAACCTCAGTTGGAAACCAATGGCAATCATATGCCCAAAAATTGATATTGAAATTTGGTGAGGAAAAATTTGATTAAAATGGGGAGTCTATCAAATTAAGAACACTTATTACATCTTCAGCCTTATGGTTATTAATCGGAATATCGGTTTTAGACCCCACGTTTCTTTGGACCAAATGAGTTTGGGGCAAAGCCCGTCCGTGTGTCTGTTTGGCTGACTTTTCACGATAACTCTCGACGGAAATAACCGACTTCATCGAAATCAAGTTTGAAGATGGGGAACGTCGGTCCATTCTTCTGGCATATTCTACACAAAATGGTCAACATTTTGCTGGAAATTAATGTTGTAAAATCAAATGAACGAAATACCCCATTTGAAACAAATTTACACATCGTAATATTTTTACCCATCCTATACCACGTCCAAAGATGGATTTGATTCAATATCAAAAGAATGGAATGTCCGATTTGATACAACATTTGCAAATCATTTGATTCAACAGTCCTCTCCTTGTGTGGTACCTCCCCCCGACAGACGGAACGCTAAACATAGTATATCCATTCTTTTCTAGCTGCACATAAACAGGACAGTAGTAGTACGTCATCACTTTCATGTCAATTAAAACTGACAACCAAAATACTATTCACCATGTCCATGAAGACAAATATCAGTGAACTAATGTATGGGGGACATAGTGCGGTTTCCTAAACAAGCCGAAAAACAACAACAACACAATAACAACATTGCCACCCTACTTAATTGTATCGATAGAAAAAATATAGCAAATGAAGTGATATGAGGAGAACACAGAGACAGCAATAACAAATTGGTCATCAAAGACAACAATCTATGCGGGTCAAAAGTCAAAGCACATGATTCCAATTTAATTGAATTTGAAAAAAAATACAACCAACCAAGCACTAAATTCCAAATAACAATAGATTATAGACTAAATATACCACAATAACAATATTCGATCGAACCAATACTAACAGCCTGTTTTTGTAAAATTCGAAACGAAACACAAACCTTTATTTATGTATAAAAATGTTTCTTGATTCACAAAAATAAACACATATTTTTCAAAGCCAAGTCGTTTGGTCATACTGTTTACACTATGTAATTGGATATATTTGTCTTTGTTTTAAATCTTACCTTAATTGTGGCTCGGCTTAGACTTATAGCACCACGACAACCAAAATCTGATTCCGATTCGGATTTATAATAGGATAGGGTACCATCTTTTAGTACAATATAACGTGGTTGCCAGCCATAAATGTAATTGGTCCATTTACTTAGATATCCTCGCAATTCGACACTGCTGTTGTCGATGAATTCCGGTTCGGAATCACTACTTGGCGGATCATTGTGAACCATATTGCTGGTTGATGATGATGTTACCGCTGGTGTTGCTGCTGCTACCGTTTGGGGTGGGGCTGATTTGCCGGCAATGGAGCCACTTGAACTGCCACCATTCAATTGTTTAACATAATTCATTACTCGTCTTCTTCTTGTTGTTTATTTTATACGTATTATTTATTTACGTTCTGCCTTCGCTGCGTATGTTTGCGGGTATGTCTGTGTGTTCTTATAATAAGCAACAAGAAGTGGCTACAATAATAACAAACAGCTGGTAACAGACAACAAATCTATTTATGCACACTTTTGTTAGTGGACAACAAAACCACTTTTCCAAATTCTATTCTCGGTCGTTGTTTTTATAATAAACAAATTTGGACAAACGAACGAGCAAAAATAATCAAAGGAATTTAATGGACGGCCACGTAATTTCCAATTGGAAATTATTTATTTTTTACTCGAAACTAACCACGACGGTCACTGATGAGCAATTCTTCTGTTATCGTTGCGGGTGTTGTTCTTTGCTCGGGCACAACAAAAACAACATAATCTCTATAATTAACACAGAACAACAATAACAAAATGAAGAAATAATCTTTAATTAAAATATAATAAGAGCTTATCCACAGTCACACCTGATTTTTAAATTGTGGTGGATATTTAATCACAATTTAGGCCACAAATCGCCATAAGCCATTATACCCGACCGACCGACCGATTGACGACAGACTTGCAAATCAAGAACATTAAAGAATTCTGCACAACGGAACAGACGTTAAGACCTTGTCTTCTTTTGTTTTGTTGTTATTGTTTTGTTTAGAAAGTAGTATTTTCGCTTGCTTGGGGATAATTTTAAAATTATTATGACAAATAGAAATAGGTTTATGTTATTATGTAAATTGGCTAAATTGTCCTTAATGAATTTATTAATTTATTGCCTTGTTGCTATTATTTTATTGCATTATTGCAGAGCTGTTATTACACACTTGTCACAAAAACACCAAACCACTAGGGATTTATAAGTCGACTTTCGACTATTCAATTCAAATGTCAAAGACGCTCCGCAAATCTGTCGCTCTGGAACGATTTGGTTTATATGAAAAATTCAGAGAAAGGAACGACTGGAACTAGATTCATCTATTTAGTAGGGATGTGTAAATCGATATTTGGTATTGAATGTTCAAAAGGGCATGGTATAATTAGTATGCCTGCTTACTCGATATTTGGTTAAAGTACATTTACATATACGATTTTAAATCGAATCGATTAACGAAATCCAGAAATACACCCTAATTCACGGCCTATAAATAAGGTCACCCAGGGAGACCAGCTGTATATCTGTGCCACTCAAGTTTGCTGTCAAAATGCATTATTGTGAATTGACTTCCATTATGAAAAGGTAAACAAAGTCGAAATTTTTGACGTTAGACTTGAGAAAAAACAACTGTTTTCCAATTTCGACTGTTAACTGGGTGACCTTATTAATAGATCTTGTCCTAATTGTTTACACATACCTTTAATCAAGATATAATGGTCAATCAGCTGATGTTTGTTGGTATACATACAAAATTATTAATTTGCGCCAATAATATTGGTTTGAAATTTGAAAATGAAAAGAAAAATTGGAAAGTAAAAAATCACCTTAAAATCTATAAATAATTTTCATTTGATTTTTCATTTTTGCATTTGGCAACCTTTAAATATAAAAACAAAAAGTTGCAAATTTTGGTACATTGTACATAATTTATATTTATAAATATTTTGAAGTTCCCTGCTTTTAAACTTATAAATATAAGATGTAACAACCGTGGATAAATCTTGAGAGTAATGTTCAACTTTAGAAAATATATTTTGTTTAATTTATTGAAAATATGTCAATCGACATACATAACATTTTATGGAATTTATTTTTCATATTTGGTCTGTTCCCGTACTGCAAGAATCTACTAGTTTTTACTACTATAACGAATTTTCCTTTATGATATCGAAGAAAATAGTAAAATCGTGTAGAATCTTGCAGTACGGGAACAGACCAATTATTTAAAATTGATAGATGAGTTCCAAATTAAAAAGGGTTGCCATCATAAAATTCTTAAATGAGACTACATTATGTAGTTATACCATGAATTACAAGTTTGCAAGATTTTCATTCGTGATTTTAAATTTTATTCCGAAAGTTCCAAAAAATTACATTTTCAAAATAAATTAATTTTATTAATATTTCGTACGTTTTGTTTACATTTTTCAACAAATAAAAGTGACACTAGTGTTACATACAATAACAATTCGATCTAATACACTCGCCAGGGGCTTTTATCCCCGCAATGAATTTTCCATTTCCCTTTTAGATACAAATTATCATTTAAAAAATCAGTCAATACTATTTTATCACTTAATACGGCATTTAATTAGAACTTTTTACCGGGTTAACCTACTTTATGAGGATTTATTTGGCATATATTCAAAGGAATTGACAATTTAAACCCACTGGGTTAACCAAATCCGGTACTGTAATGTAAACGTACTTTAAGAGAATAAAATAAATAGCCAAACGACATTTTCAATATTACATTTTAAATTCGATTTTTATTAGTTTTGATAATAAATTAATAAATTACAAATAAATAATAGCTTCATTAGTTAATTAATGAAAATAAATACAAAACAAAATGTTTATCATTTTCTATAAATATTATTAATATATACAATGTTGTTGTGTTTGTTTTTCTTCCATTTAATTACAAATTAAAAACATAACTTATTTGCTAGACGATGACTTTCAGAGAACACTCATTTGTGCGCAAAAACAAATTTACGTTAATTCTAAATTAATAACAAAAAATATTAAATAAATTAACAAAAAAATAATTTACACAAAAACAAGAAAATAAATTATTAAATAAATAAAAAATTTACTAATTGTTAAGTTTTTTTTTAATTTTTTACAAAAAAAGATAAATATTGCCTTGAGTCCATTAAAAATGTTGTTTTATGGTTTACATGGAATATAAATTACTGGACCTTTTCCTTTTCGCATAATCCCGTTTAATTTCATTATATTCAGGATTTTCTTCATCATCTTGAACTTGCTGATCCAAGATATCTGAAGCGGATATTTTTTGTGGCAGTTGGGGTTTGTTGGTTATTTCTTCGACTTCTTGTTCGTGATATTCACCTTTTTGGGATTCTCTGAAAAGGTGAAAATAAAATACATTAATTTGATAGATTTTGAAGAATATATTTTATGAAATTACCTGTATTTATGATTTTGTATTGCCTTGAAAATACTTCGGGGACAATCTTTGTAATAGGGGAAGCATTCACCAGGCGACACACGACCTTCACCAATTTCTTGTGCCTTAACATATTCTGGTATTAGATCTGAGAAGGGAGATCTAGTCACACTATTGGGAAATATGAAAAAAAAAATATTATTTGTTTAAGAAATAATAGGGCTGTTTGATTAGATGATTATAATTCAGCAACAATAATTTTAAATAGACAAAATGAAGAGAATATTCTTATTGAGTTTTTTGTTGAACAAGTTGTGGGGAGTTTTTATATTTAGTAGTGGACCTGAAGGTAGTATTTTCGATAGATGAAATACTGACGTGGGGTTTTTCGAGATGGACAGGGAGATGAAAGAAGTATTTTCGATTAACTTTTTTCGATAGAGGAGGAGCTGAACAATGTATTTTCGATAGACTGGGAGCTACAGAGAGTATTTTCAATAAACGAGGAGATGAAAGGAGATTTTTTCGTTTTAATAGAGGAAGGGCTGAACAAAGTCTTTTCGATAGGCGAGGAGCTGAATTGATTTTTTTCTACAAATGGGGAACTGGAGGGAGTTTATTAGATAGACAAGTATCTGAATGGGATGTTTTCGACAAAGAGCTGAATGGTGTCTTTTCCTTTTATGAAGAGCTGGCGGAAGTATTTTCGATAGATGACGAGCTGAAGAGATTTTTTCGATAGACGAGGGACAAGAGGAGCATTTTCGATAGACGAGGATCGGAATGAAGTGTTTTTGGTTGGAGTCTTTTCAAATGACGAAGAGCTGAATTGAGTTTTTTCTATAGACGATGAATTAAAAGGAGACTTTTTAGATGAGTCGAAAGGAGTATTTTTCTAAAGATGATTATTTAATTGATGAGGAACTGATGGAAGTTTTCGATATTCGATGGAAGATTAGATGAAAATATTTTTTTAAGCTGAAAGTAGTTTTTCGATAAACGAGCTAATGGTAATATTTATTCTATAGAAGGGTTCAATGCAGCCTATTTCTATATCCCAGTTAAAGGGAGTCTTTTCTATAGACTAACTGAAGGAAGTCTTTTCTATAAACGAGCTGAAGGGGGACTTTATTAGAGACGAGGTGAAAGGAATTTCTAATATTAGCTCTGTCTGTTTACTCGATATTTGGTAACAATTGTTACCAAATGTTACTAAATGTGGTCTGTTTACCCAAAAATCCAGTAAAAGAGAGTCAAGTGAGAGAGCAAGTTTGACAGTTGAACAACAACAAACTTACTGGAGTTTACTGAAAGAATTTTATGCAGTAAGATTTTGCAAACTCAGCAATTTTTGGATCAGCTGTTTTATGATCAAACACACAAATTATTCAAAACAAACTAATTCCTTATATATTTTTAGGCAAGTTCCAGATAGAGGACAATGTATTGATGCAGGAAGCTTTTATGTTCCCGGGGAACATACCAAATCAGTTTTTGTTTTATTGTTCATTTTATTTTTAATATTAAATGCAATACAAATAATTGTGTTTGTCCTTTGTTTGTTGTTTATTTTGGCGCAAATCAAATGTTTTCTTGAATCAGCTGTTTATTTGCTAAATCTTACTAAACGTTGTCTGTTTACTTTTCTCTGCATTATCGCAAAAGAGAGTAAAAAAGCTTACTCTCTGAACTAGAACATACTGAATAAATGTTACTGGAAAAGTAACCAGACACACTTATTTACGAATATGAGAGAGTATTTTTCTACAGATGACATTTTCATAGACGAAAATAAAGTCATTTATATTTAGATGATCATGAAGGTTTTTTTTATTGAAAAAGGAACAGTTTATAGTGAATTATAGTTCTCATGTCCATTAACAGTCAAATATAATCCAAAAACGTAATCATTTCATTTGATTATTGTTACTTACGTTAAAAATAATTTCGCCATTTCACCGAATACACCAAAATGATCCACTGATCTCGAGTGGACCTCACAGATTGTACGTAACAGGCATGCTTTACCATTCATACCGAATGTGGCCAAAAAGTCCTCTACCACACCATACAAAATTACTCTGGAAGAGGAAAAGGAGAAATCATTTATAACCAAATTCTTGTTCGCTTTCATGTTGACATCTAATACCTTTCTCCACCATGGAATATGTGCTTAAAACGTTCGGGTAATTGTGGAAATTCTGGATGGTCTTCATTGTTTGTTTGCTGCTGTTCAATTTTGAAATGGCCACTTGATATTGGTGCCTTATTCTGTTCGCTTAGGTCACGTTTACGTTTGAAATGCAACAGCTTGGTTACATAGTCGCCCAACATTTCACCGGCTGAATGGCCAAAGGAACGGGCAAATATTGGCGGCAAATCACCCAAAGGATTTTGATTGTCGGTCAGGCCCAATTTATCGAAATCGACTAGAATAAAACAAAATTAATTTTTAAATTTTATCAGCCATCCCATTTCTATGTCAACTACTCACTTGTTACGGGGAAACTAATGGTCATATTTGAAAAGAAACCCTCCGGAGGATGTCTCACCAATGGCATCGATATGGTTGGTGTAAATGTCAATGCTGTACCTGGTGGCAGTGCCAATCGTCCATCATCTGTAATCCATATTAAACGTTTTCTACGCGAATGCGGTTGCTGTGAATCGGTATCAATGAATTCTTCATGTTCTATTTCATCGGCCAGTGAATTGCTATGTTGTGTTGTTGTTGCTGTTGCACCGACAGTGGCGGATGTATCTGCATTTGGTATGGAGTCATCTGTGCTAGCCTGGGCTAACAACACCGTAAGCGCTATTGTGAATAAAGCTATTTTTGAGGAGGTGTTTTTTGCGGAGCACAGCCACGTTGAAGTCATGATTTGTTTGGAATTTTTTGTTTTAGCTGAAACGAAGACAGGGAAGGAGTTTAGTTCAAAGGCAATGTAAACAATACAAGTCAAAACATGATATTTTTCAATGTAATTGCGAATACAAAAATTGTACAGAGGGGTTTGAAGTAGTTCTTCGTGAGTCTATATAGACAACTAAAGGGAGTTTTTATAGACGAATTGAAGGGAGACTCCATAGACATATTGAACGGATTCTCCATTGACGAGCTGAAGGTTGTTTTTATAGACGAGCTGAAAGGATTCCTTAGAGACGAGTTGAATAGGATATTTATAAATGAGCTGAATGGAGTATTTATAGATGAGCTGGAGGGAGTCTGTATAGACGAGCTGAAGGGAGTCCTTGTAGATGATCTGAATGAAGTCTTTAGAGATGAGGTGAAGGGGATATTTACAAAAGACCTAAAGGGAGTCTTTATAGATGAGATGTAGGGAGTCTTTACAGACGAGCTGAAGGGAGTCTATATATACAAGCTGAATAACGTTTTTTAGACGAACTGGAGGGAGTCTTTAGATGAACTGGAGAGGGTCTTCATAGATGAACTGGAGGGAATCTTTACAGACGAGCTGAAGGTAGTCTTTATGATAGACGTCCTGAAGGGAGTCTTTATAGACAAGCTGAAGGGAGTTTTTAATACTATATCAAAAAGTTTATTTAGAATGGTCTTGTTTATACATGAAAAGACTTAAGACCAAGATATTTTATTAAAGTCAATTAAAAGTCAGCTTTTTTAAATCTAATGTCAAAAATGTTGAGTTTGTTTACATGGACGTCAATTATGGATTTTCACAGCAAGCTTGAAAGTCAGCTGGTCTCTCTGTATGACCTTATTTAATAGGTCTAGACATGATGCAATAATAAGGTGATGTATCAAAACAAAAACATTTTTGTTTGTCTCGATTATCTGTCAATTTTTTCCTTATAATATTTCAAAAAGTTGACAGCATTGCACATCGAATTCAAGTAAAATTTACCACTTTGACAGTTAATCAAGACATCAGCTGCTTTAAATGGACAACCTATTCATTGTGCCATTGGTCTAGATTAAGACTAAAATTAGAGCACGATCTATTAATAAGGTCACCCAGCAAGCGAAAGTTTTTTCTAAAGTCTAATGTCAAAAATTTGGCTTTTATTTACGTCTTCATAGCGGAAGTCAATTCACAATAATAGATTTTGACAGCAAACTTAAGACAGCTGATATCCTACTGGTCTCCTTGGACGACCTTCTTTATAGGCCTTGAATTAGAGTTTATTTCAAATTATGACAGATAACAGATATAGTTGCCATTATGATGCAATAATAAGGTGATGTATCAAAAGAAAAACATTTGTGTTTTACCCGACCACCTGTCAAATTTTATCTTGTAATATTTTTCATGGTTTGGCAATATTGCACATCGAATTAAAGTAGAACATGGCCTATAAATAAGGTCACCCAGGGAGACCAGCTGATAATCAATACCTCTCAAGTTTGCTGTCAAAATGCATTATTGTGAATTGACTTCCATTATGAAAATGTAAACAAAGTCGAAATTTTTGACATTAGACTTGAGAAAAAACAGCTGTTTTTCGATTTCGATTGCTATCTTGGCGACCTTATTAATAGATTTTGAAGTAGAAAATACGCATGTTGACAGTTAATCGTGTAGTCAGCTGTGCTAAATGTCAATATTACAGAGAAATGCTGCCAAATTAGGGCGAAGACAATTTTTTTCTATAGAGTTGAGATTCTTTTGATAGACGAGTTCAAATGTGTCTTTTCTATAGACAAACTGAAGGGAGTCCTTTTTTGAAGATGACCTGAATGAAATTAGAGTATTTCGAAAAACATAAGAAAAACATTGAAAGCTCAATTTATTCTAATCTGATCAACAAAAATAAACGTTTCTCCTCATTATCATACCGCCAACATACATATGCACGTATGTATTTTCCATAGCTGCATAAATTTAAAATTCAAACATTTACAAGTAATTCCATCTAAATGTAGATTAAAACCCCGTAATCCTGTCTGGTGTCTGATTGCCAAGTAAACCGGTTGTGATGACTTGGCAAAAGCAACCATCGTCATTTCATTGGACTATTTTTATATATTAAATAATTGTTTCTTGTTGTTATTGTTCTAAATTGGTCAATATGTATATCATGATTACCTAGAAAATAAAGAGCAGAACAATGATTTACAAAAACGATCGAATTAGAAAACTGTTTAATGACTTTCTAAACATGTTTAGCTGCCGAAGCAGAACTAGTTTAACTAAATCTTTTCGAGATAAATTTTTGAATTGTCGATATACTTGTCGTTTGAGAGAATATTTGAGTTATTGATTTCATAATACATATTATTAAAATTCTAATTATTTATTTTTATTGTATATTACAGCAGTTTTAATGAGAGCGTTGTAAAATCGAAAGTGATAGAGTCGGTTCATTAAATTGAATAAAGACAACAATCATGGGAAGAGTAAATTGTAGAAGATATTTTATTAAGCGATGATTTTTTAAAAATTATTAGGAGGAAGTCTATCGGCTTATAAACAAGATGAAGGGGATCTGTTCTGTTCTAGACGAGTCAATGGAACTAAAGGGACGGAGGAATGCCCAGAAGGTAAATATTTCTAAGAAGAAGATTTTTTTCATAGACGACGTGAAGGTAGTATTTGTTTATCAAAAAACTGAAGGGGTTATTTATAGAATAACTGAAGGGAGTTCTGAAGCCGAACTAAAGGCTGTTTCTACAGATTAGCTGCTTCAAGTTTCGATAGACGATCTAAAGAGAGTCTTTTTTATAGACGTGCTGAAGGGAGTCTTTTTTAAAGGCGAACTGAAAAGAGTCTTTTCTATGTAGGAGTTGAAGGTAGACGAGCGGAAGGGAGTATTTTTTATGTGAAAGAACTGAAGGGAGTATTTTCTATAGCCAAGCCGAATCAAGTTTGTTTCCATAGACTAGCTGAACGGAGTCTTCTATTGGAGAACTGGAGGATGTCTTTCGTATAGACGAACTTATCTTTTATCTAGAAGACTTAAAGTCAGTCTTTTCTATAGCAGATCTAAAGGGTTTATTTTTATATACGAGCGTTTGGTGTAGTTACTATAGACGAGTCGAAAACAATTTCTACAGAAAAGCTGAAGGTAGCTATAAAAAAACTAAAGGGATTTTGTATAGACAACCTAATGCGAATCCTTGTAGACGAACTGAAGGAAGTTTTTCGGGTAGACATATGTCTATAAAAAAATTGAAGGCAGTAGCTATAGGGAGCCTTTATGGGCGACTTGAAGGGAATATTTCATATAGTCCAGATGAAAATAGTATTTATATAACCTCAGCACCATATACCCTTTGCAAAAGTGTGCCTCATCGAAATATGTTTCTTTGGACCTAATCCGTTTTAGACAATTGAACATTCGTCTGTCTGGTGTCCACGATAACCCTCGAAGGGTGTAATCGATTTCATTAAAACTTAGCACCTCGTAATATTCATTCTAAACTTAGGTCATGTTCGTAAATGGAGGATGTCGGTCCTCTCCTTCTGGTACCTCCCTCACAAAATGGTCCATATGTCGCTGAAATATAATTCTATAATATCATGCAAAGGGACTCAAACCTACAACTTATTATCTCATCAGGTCAGAAGATGAGACGTATTGGTCCACTCCTTCTGTTAGCTCCTCCACAAGGGTTCAAAATAGAAGAGCTAACGGGAGGTTTTTTTATAGACAACCTAAAGTGAATCCTTGTAGACGAACTTAAGGAAGTTTTTCGGTTAGACATGTGTCTATAAAAAATTGAGGGCAGTCGCTATAGGGATCCTTTATGGACGATTTGAAGGGAATATTTCATATAGACGAGATGGAGATGGTTTTTTTATAACCTCAGCCTCATATACACTTTGCTACGGCAAAAATTTGCCTCATCGAAAAATGTTTCTTTGGACCAAATCCGTTTTAGACAATTGTCGTCAATTCGTCTGTCTGGTGTCCACGCTAACTATCGAAGGGAGTAATCGATTTCATTCAAACTTAGCACTTCGTAATATTCATTCTAAACATAGGCCAAGTTCGAAGATGGATGATATCGGTCCACTCCTTCTGGTACCTCCCTCACAAAATGGTCAAAATTTTATTGAAATATAGTTTTATAATATCATGCAAAGGGACTCAAACCTACAACCTATTATCTCATCAGGTCAGAAGATGAGACGTATTGGCCCACTCCTTCTGGTAGCTCCTCCACAAGGGTTCAAAATAGAAGAGCTAACGGGAGGTTTTTTATAGACAACCTAAAGTGAATTCTTGTAGACGTACTGAATGAAGTTTTTCGGTTAGACATGTGTCTATGAAAAAAATTGAAGGCAGTCGCTATAGGGATCCTTTATGGACGATTTGAAGGGAATATTTCATATAGACGAGATGGAGATGGTTATTTTTATAACCTCAGCCTCATATACACTTTGCTACGGCAAAAATTTGCCTCATCGAAAAATATTTCTTTGGACCAAATCCATTGATGGAACCCATCGGCCCACCCCTTCTGGTACCCCCTACAAAAATGTGCAAATTTGGCTAAAAATAATTTTATAATCAAGCGAACGAACTATCCGATTTGAACTAAACAATGCACATCCTAATATTTCAACCATTACTGCATAATGTTGAAATGGTCTACTTTTTCTAAGGGTCGACATTTTTAAAACTTGAAAATCTCAAATGGAAGGTATTAAAAATACCTTCCATATAAAATTCCCGATCATTTGTAGATGTTTTGCTGGTGGAGCGTGTAAAGACGTTTTCCTTTTTTGTAAATTTTAATTTTGAAACAATAATTTGCATACAACAAGTCCGAACCTAACCTACCCTAAATTGCCGTTTCGTTTCTAAATAATTTAACACTGACGCCGAAGAAGAAAAAAGAAAATTGAATGTCAATAATTTCCCATTTATAGTTGCCGGCCATATAGATGGCTTA